CTCCTTCCTCAACCACTCCCCCTCCCCAGCCACACCCTTCATTCCCCCACCATCTCCACTGCATCCCTTCTTCCTCCCAACCCTTCATTCCTAACCCACCATCCCCTGCCTCCTTTCTTCCCCAACCTTTCTTCCTCCGCATCATTTCCTCCCCCTTTTCCCCCTCTTTCTTTGCACCCCTTTTTCCCCCATTCCTTTCCCCACTCCCCTCCTTCCTCTTCCCATCTCATCCCCCTCTTTCCATCCTTTCCTCTTTCCTTTCCTCACCCTCCTTCCTTCCTACTTTCCTTTCTCTTCCTTCCCCGCCCTTCTTCATTTCGTTCCTTCTTTCATTCCCCCTAAAAAAATCTACCTCCTTGATATAGGAACCCTGCTACAATAACACAAAATCTGCTTCCTTGATATAGGAACCCTGCCACAACAATACAAAATCTGCTTCCTTGATATAGGAACCCTGCTACAACAATACAAAATCTGCTTCCTTGATATAGGAACCCTGCTAAAACAACACAAAATGTTTATATATTTTCAACTTCTTTAAAAGTTTTAAACAAAGAAAAAGAGTTCATCAAAGATTTATACTTTATAAGCTTCAGAAGAATGGAAGAATTTATTGATCGATAAATCGTTTATAGCCCTTGCATCTACATTTATTTTCCGTACATTAATATAAAGTCAAGGAGACATTGGCATCTATATATATACTTTGCTTGTCTATCTGTATGATTGTCTGTTTGTTTCCAATAAACGTCAAAACGGCTGAACAGATCGGGCCTAAATTTTGCGTGGGACCTCATATGATCCCAGGGAAGGTGTTTAAACAAGTGACAACTTAGTTTATATATAATTGAATATAAAGAAAATTTTATTAAAAAAACCGCGATTTTTTGTTATATAAAAGAATTGTCGTTGAAATTTAAAATGGCCCTTCATTTAAAGAGAATTGATTACCCATGACTTATAATGGCATCCTGTGAATTTAATTCTGATAATTTTTCCATTGTTTCTGAAGCAAGAAGTTTGCAAGTCACTTTTTAAGCGAAACCACAAAAAACAGTAAAAAATTTTAAAAACAATAACATTGATATCTTATTCGTACTTGAAATTACGCTTACAGTCCCTTTAAAATATCACTTTTGTAACTACGCTTACAGTCCCTTTAAAATATCACTTTTGTAACTCTAACTTTGCAAGGATTTGAAATAAATTTGTTTCGAAGAGGCTTCAACCATGGTTCTTGTAAAATATACTAAACCCCAATTTAAAGATTAAAAATCATGAGAGCACTTTAACATATTTTAATGATATTAATCCGACTCCGTTTGAGAGAAAAATCTAAAGAGTAAATTTTTCCACAAGTGGATTCTTGAAAATTTTATATTTTACAAATTTAAAATGATATTAAGTGAAAAGGAAAGATATCTTGGTCTAAAAAGTTGCGCGGCAAAATCCTAAAAGTTTGAAACGTTGAAGACAAATTATTCATTCTTGGCGGAGGAAACTCGAGCTATGGGTTAACAAACAAATATCTTCTTTATGAGGTTTAAAGAATTTCCAAAATATCTCATCTAAACATTTTTCTACAAATTTATTTACCAGACATTCTCCGCATCTTTAGATCAGCTCTTCCATCAAGCTTTTCATGTATTTAATATTTATATCGATACTCAAATATAAAACCATATATTTTTAAAGACCAGTTCTCAAATTTGTTCAAGTTCTTACAATTGCTTTATCCAACTCTTTACCTCATGTCTTGTTTTTAATATTTTTACATTATTCTGTGTTCTGTACTCTTTCTAATATTCTGTATCCAATGTACAATGTCTAGTACAGTACCCGGTGTTTATCAAAAATTATTCTGTATCTTAAATCTAAATATTCTACCTTGTATCTGTGTCCTGGCCCCATGTGTATTTATATTTCATCTTGTATCCTGCCTTTTACATCAGCTGTATACTAAATTCTGTATTCTGTATCCTACCTACACCCTTCATCGTGAATTGTATCTTGTATCCAAATCCTGCATCCTGTATCCTGAAACCTGCATCCTGAATCCTTTATCCTGAAAATATCCTGTATCCGATATAAATTCTGTATCCTGAATCCTGTATCCTAAATCCTGTATCCTGAATCCTGTATCCTGAATCCTGTATCCTGCATCCTGTATCCTGTATCCTGTATCCTGCAACCTGTATCCTGTATCCTGAATCCTGTATCCTGTATCCTGAATCCTGTATCCTGAATCCTGTATCCTGTATCCTGTATCCTGTATCCTGTATCCTGAGTTAATTCTGTATCTTATATCTTAACTATCCTAGTGAATGAGAAGATCTACATATTTATCTGGTTCTGGTTGCTTATCCTCGGGTTCTGCACCACCCTCGTCATCATCTACAGGATTGTGATCGTCTTCAGTCCATACGTTCGAGCCTTCGTTCTTAGAGTCAGATACAGGTAGAAGATTTAATAAATAGGACTCCATGGGCTCATTCGTAGGATTCATTTGAGACATATAAACTTTTTAAAGATCTTTAAATCCTGAGTTTGAGCGCTAAGTCGACATTAAAAACGTACTTTTGGGTGGATACGTTTTCAGAATCGGTGTTTTAAAATTAATAAATAACAACGACGAAAAATAAAGTAAAAATCATACAGTAATCTAATTAGATGGCTAGGAACATATTTCTCAAGAGACATTTGTCAATAATGCAATGCTAGAATCAATTATTTCGTTTCCATCATTAAATTGAATTTATAATTTTCTTTGAATTTATTCGCAGATTTCTTAAAATTCTTCTAATGTCGTCTTTTCGATAACAATTCCAGAAAATCTGCAAAAAATGTTTTGAATAATGAGAAACTATAATAAAGAGAAAATAGAAACTAATAATTGAACAACATTACTTATTTTCGATGACAAGATTAATTTTTATTTTCTCATCCTGTTCCTAAACAACTAATTAGTTTACTGTAGAATATTGTTTACATTTTTTGTCGTCGTTATTTAATTATTATTTAAAAGTTTTATTATTATTTAAAAGTTTTATATGTCTTAAATGAATCCTAAAGAATTTGTCCACAACTCTGAATAAAAAATTTGATTAAAATTCGGAGCTGTCTATATTTTAGTTCGGGTTCCAAATTCACAAATCCCATTTTAAACTTTTGATGCACATTAGGCCGCGATTTAAATAATTTGTGAAAAATTAGTCTCAATACTTAGCCGCCATTGAAACTTAGATAAGACTCGTGTCTATTGATATGTTGGGAATTCTCAGAGTTGAGTCCAATCTAAAAATCAGTAAACCACTCTGACAAAACTCACAAAGTTGGTCTGGGTTAAACTTTAGTTGGAAGATTTTCTTTTTAAATGAAGTTTAGTGTAGTTTTCTGATGTTTACTAATTGTTCCTTTTTTCTCTTGATACTAATTGATTTATTGAATTAAGACGAGTGAAGAAGGAATGTATTGACACTATTGTCGGGAAGAGTTATGTTGGAGACTGGTTTCTCTTCTATCTACTTGGACAGAATATAGACTCAGTAATATTTAAGGTAGTATATACTAATACAAAGGAATTGAGTCTTTGCAACAAACTCTAATTTTCTAATCCCTATATCTTTGATATTTCAAACTATGAGTTCTGTTAGATCAAATAATATAAGTTTGAAATATCATCTAGCTTATTTATAAATATTTATGTACAGGACATTGTACACGAGCTAGCTTCTTTATAAATATTTATGTAGAGGACATTGTACATGAGCTAGCTTCTTTATAAATATTTGTGTACATACAGGACATTGTACATGAGCTAGCTTATTTGTAAATATTTATGTACAGAACATTGTACATGAGCTAGCTTTTTTATAAATATTCATGTATAGGATGTTGTTTATGAGCTACAATTCTTCATGAATATTTATGTATAGTATGCTGTACATAAGCTAGCTCCTTTATGCATATTTATGTACATGATGTTGTCCATGACCTAGTTTCTTTATAAATAGTTATGTACATGATGTCGTACATGAGCTAGCTTCTTTATATATATTTATGTACATGATGTTGAACATGACCTAGTTTCTTTATGAATAGTTATGTACAGGATGTCGTACATGAGCTAGCTTCTTTATGAATATTTATGTAAAGGATGACGTACATGAGCTAGCTTCTTATATATAAATATTTATTTACAGGGTGTTGTACACGAGCTAGTTTATTTATTGATATTTATGTACAGGATGTTGTACATGAGCTAGTTTATTTATTGATATTTATGTACAGGATGTTGTACATGAGCTAGCTTCTTATATATAAATATTTATTTACAGGGTGTTGTACACGAGCTAGTTTATTTATTGATATTTATGTACAGGATGTTGTACATGAGCTAGTTTATTTATTGATATTTATGTACAGGATGTTGTACATGAGCTAGCCAAGAAGCTTGGATACCGATCAAGAGATATAGGAGAAACCTGACTGAAGGAAGAAAGAAGTAACGGAACCCCGGATATATTAAAGAACGGCACTGCCTTCTAATCTAGGAAAGTTGAAAATAAACTTTATCAAATTTTTAAATTAAAAACAAACAAAAAAATGCTTCAAAAGTTTGTTCTGATATTTAGTTTTTGCTAGGTAATGTTAATTAAGATTTTTTTTTACCATCATTAAGTCCAAAAGTTAGTTCTCATTACAATCTCCCCGTTTATAGTTTTTATTATCTGCATTTAGAATCTTTTCTAATTATTACAAGATATCATCTCATCATTTTAATTAATTTTTGCAGAAGATTGATTCAATCCTTTGTTTCTTGAGTAGTTTGCAATTTTGCAGAATATATTTGATATTTTACACTCAAAGAAAACGTCACATTCATTTCTTTTTTGTCATTTCTTTTGGGATAAAATTAAAAAATTCTTGCTCTTCAGAATTGAATTTTCAAAGACTCCTACATTAAAATATATATATTGTTATAGAAACATTTAATTATGATCTTAAAAACCATTGAAGTAACTTTTAAAATGGACTTTCTCTTTTTGACAATTGAGTTGTAACAGTTTAAATATGTTAAAACATTAAGAAGTTTATTTTTAAATAAAATAGGTTAAACTTGAATCTCCTGTGCTCCTAAATTATACAAAAGAAAAAAAGAAAAAATGAAAATTATAAATATTTTGCTTATTTTAATTTACATATTTTGAGGCATTTTGAGCTAGATATTTCCGTCTACCTCCCCCCCTCCCCTCCCTCTAGATCTATAGAAAAACATGATTTAGAACTATTTATGCTTCCATTCTTTTGCCAATATTTTAATATTTGACCTACTTTGTGATAAGAAAATAAAAAAAATATATCTTAATAACTTTTAATAAGCTCATGGGTCGGGAGAAATCTTAATTTTATTAATAAAAAATAACCCTTAAATCAACCCCCAGTATTTTCCCAGTTTGTTAGTTATTGATCAAGGTGTGTATAGTGAAGGTGAGGAGGTATTGATCAAGGTGTGTATAGTGATGGTGAGGAGGGCAGAGCAATCAAACAAACAGCTGAGTTTAAACCCAGCATTAACACTATTTACAAACTGTTGTTTCTTTTTACAAAATCTACTGTGGTAGGCGATTATATCAATGCAATGAAGACGACTTTTATATTTAAGTTTTGATTGTTAACAAGCTTAATTCGAATTGAAAGTTAACAAGTAACGAAAAAGAAACTTTTCAAATTAACAACTTCTATTTGTTTCCATGTTCATGTGTATCTTTGCTGTTTCAAAGCTTGATATAACTCAAAATTTGAATGAAAAGTCGTCTTCATTGTATTGATATATTTGACTTAACGACGACTGTAGTTCATAAGTTATACGTCACAGTAACCCCTATCCTTCCTACCTTTAGTACACACACCTTGGTATTGATTATATAATAGTTGCATCAGATATGTGCTTCCTTGTTATCCATGTTTTATAGCTTTCTTTAACAATTTATCAGACCTGTAGTCTCCTATGTACACTGTACAGCGTGCAATGTTGTACACTTATTATTGTACATTTTATTTTACTGCGTAAAAAATAATGAAACTGTGCTTTTAAATATCAATAACAAATGGATGAGGTTCTAACTTTTTAATTGTGGCGTAATAGGACAGTTCAGTAACTCTGTCTACAAAAAATACAGTTTATCAGCTGTTCTAAACTGTCATAAAAAATACGTACGAACCCCCCCCCCCTTATTTTCTCTCTACTCATTGAATGAAAAGCAAACCAAGCCGTGTCAGCATTAAAAAGTATTCTGCTGAGTATGAATAAAACTGCCGTATCACAAATAGAAAACATTAGCTGCACCCTTCATGCATAAAATGTGTATATTATTATTGTAAATGTACGCATAACAATTAATGTAGAGAATAATAGTTTTTAAAACCTGAAATTTTAAAGGATAAAAGTATTTGTTGAGACTTATTAAGATAGTTTAAGGTGTTTACCAACATATCCTGTGTGTACTGTACTGTACTGTACTGTACTGTACTGTACTGTACTGTGCTGTACTGTACTGTACTATACTGTACTGTATTGTACTGTAGTTTACTGTACTGTATTGTACTGTAGTTTACTGTACTGTATTGTACTGTACTGTACTGTATTGTACTGTACTGTACTGTACTGTACTGTAATTTATTTTATTGAACCATACTGTACTTTACTGTACTGTACTGTACTGTACTGTACTGCAGTTTGCTTGTTTAGAGAAGGTCTGAATATTAGGTGCTACAAAAACCAGACATTGTACGCTAGCATGTATTCATTCAAAAATACTCTTGCCAAAAAAGTTTGATTTTGATGATCTAATTTTGAAGAAGTTTTTTCAAAATCACATTTTGCGTTTCGCATGCAAAATAATTCCATGTTTATCTTTATTTAGAGAATCTGAAAATGGCTCCAAAGTATGTTTTAATTTGAAAAAGTAACCCATGAAAGAAAAGTTTAAAAAAATATATTTATATTAAGGTTTTTTTTGTTAAATTCCTGACTGATAAAAAAAAAATAACTTCTTTTTGATTTTGAAGAAAAATCGTGTAACTCAAGCATTAATACTTTGGGATGGTTCATTTTTTGCACTGTCACGTTTTGCCGCGTCTAAAGCCTATATGCGTACTGTACAATTTCCTCTAGTCGTCTGAAAGTAAGTCCAGTACATCAAATGAACCGGAGTTTTCAGTGTAAACTGTACACTGTACAGTACACTGTATGTACGTTTTTCAGATTCTTTCTTGAATAACAATTGAGCTAAATATCACTTATTTTGTTTTATGTAACGAATGAAATAAATTATACTGAAATAAAAATATGTTTTCATTTCAATCTTTAATATTCAGAAAGGTTTGTTCAAGGAAAAAAACACATTAGAAAAAAGAATGGAGAGAATAGTTTTTTTTTGATTTTTATAGAGGTTTTTAAGATTCGTCGCGCGTATAGTTTTACACGTTCAAAGTAGGGCCAAGGTAGGATTTAAAGGTTTACATAGTTCACTTCAATATAAACATGAGGAAAAAAGAAAAGACGCAAAATTATTGATCTTCTAACTTTGTGACACCGCAGCTCCTCTAGTTTTGATTTTACGCTAAGGTATGAGATTATTTGTAAGTGGGTAGAATACATTCATAACTATTTCACTCTTCTCATTAGTTATTTGGAAAAAGAAGATTTGATTAAAACACGTAAGATTTCAATCTAATGCGTAATTGAGTTTTATCAGTTGGGGTTCTAAAGCATGTTCTGTTTATTTCACTTTACTGACAATTTACCAGAAAAAAAATTATAAAAACTAAATAGTTCTGATCAATTAATTGCTGGATGTTTGTGGAGGTTTGAATAAAAATTAGCATCAATTTATTTGGTTCGTTTTTAAACATTCAGTGCGTTTATGCCGTATAGTCTAGAACACTCAAAATGAATCCTTAAGAATTTATCCACAACACTGCACACTCAGTTTCACTACCTTACATAGCCAGTCTGTCCCTTTAAATCTTTTTAATGAACTATTTGTATCACAAGTAAAACATTATCAATCCTGAAGAATTTTAAATGTTTAAAATATTTCCAAAAAGACAAATTTTTAATCGTTTTTATTAGGCATTTGGATAAATTGCCTAACCAATAATCAGAGTAAACATTTAGTGCAATTTAAGCAAAAAGTAAAATTTTAAAATATCTGTAACATTTTATATTCTTTTAGAGAGTTATAAAAGATAAAAACCATTATTTTTTTTAAATCAAAACAAAAAATGAATGTTTAACAAAACCTAACTAAAAAATGATGCCCATCTCATTCTTGTGGTGTGGAGTTCGGCGGTTTGAATAAATTCTTTAAAATTCCCAACTTGAAAGAAGAAAATGGATTAAATATTAATTAGTTTCAAAACTTCTTCTTTACATAATATTCATCTGAAATATATATTTTGCAAAAATAGAATCTCACATAATCAAAATAGTTTGTTATTCTGCAGTTGATGCAATTAATGTATGGATGCAAAAGTGTGTTTAAGCTTTTTATCCTAATAAACGTTGTTTTATTGTACTAAAAAGTTTTTTTATATTAGGTACAACGCCCACAAAATGGGAGGTCTTTGTTAAAACATTTTGCTAACCTCCGAAAGTAGGCCTAGCTAATATTTGGAAAGGAATTGAGTCTTTGCCACAAACTTTGATTTTCTAATCACTATATCTTTTTAACCCAATGTCGTAGATATTTCAAACTATGAAGTCTTCTAGATCAATAAACCTAAGTTTGAAATATCAAAGTTTTTGCCCTCAGGTTAACAAGATATAGGAATGGGAAAATCCGAGTTTGTGGCAAAGACTCAATTCCTTTGTTCTCTTTTCCAAAGGTTTTGAAAGGAAACAAAAATTTTAATCTAGATATATATATTTAGGGTTTTAAGGCGCTTCGTGCCCATCTTCTATTTAAATTGTGAACCTTTTTGTCTACATTTAAAAACAAAGAAGAAAAACATTTTGCGGATTTAAATAAAAAATTCGCGGATTTTCAAGAATTTAAATTTTTTTACAAAATTAAAAACCTTTAATACACATTTTTAAAAATTTTTTATCATTCATAAACCTTCCCTGGGATAACGCAAGGTGCCACAAAAAATTTGGGCCCGATCGGTTCAGCCGTTTTGACGTTTATTGGATACAAACAGACAAGCCAAATTTATATATAGATATATAGAATACTAAAGGTAGGGGGGATACGATTTGTATACACATTTGAATGTGACAGATTTAGGCTGATATGAGAAATGGACATTGATATTTTTTGCTGCTAGTGGAAATCATCTGAAATAATTATGAATGTACAATGAAAGATGAAATTATATCATCCACAAAATGAAAAGCAGAATTTTATCTGGATTCATTATAAAGATTAAAACTGTTAATATTGCACTGCAAACTACCCAACAGGAGAAGCGACAATACTGTTTCAGCTTTGTGACATCGTAGCTTCTCTTGTTTTGTCTTAACCTAACCTAACCCTAAATAATACTAAATAAATACTAATTTGGTCATGTACAAAATTGATAGGAGGGTCCAAAAATCGTACACAAGGACAGACCCTGTTTTTCTCCTTAGCACTTTAAAAAGAGAGATGTATGATTAATAAGATCTAAATCTTACACACAATTTACTTCAGTGTTTTCATGCAAAATCATAATAGAGTGTTAATTGTTAAATCTTTATTAAAACGTGTATAAAACTATTTATATATTCTGTCCCCCGCTAAGAACATCAGCTTTACACTTCTGGAAAATGTTCCAGAAATCTGTTCCAGCAAGAGAGTTCCCACAGTTCCAGCCACCATTCTGTTCATAAACATTCATTTATTAAAAAAAAAATTTACATGTAACATCCTTAGAATAATTTGAGAAAATTAACTTTTTGACATTTCTTTTAATGTTGCAGAGAATTCCTTTTTTATTTAATTGTAAACTGTAATTCAGTATCTTTTTTTAAAAAAAGAGTATTGTTAAGTCCAATTCGTTTAAGGGTTTAAATACCCCTCCTTAAACAAGCCGCCCCCCCCTCCCCCTTCCCCCGATTTACGTAAAAGTTCGTTAATTAGATCGACCCCCACCACCACTTTATACACATACATCTGAACAGTTTGTTTTTAACCTTTGTGACAGAAACAATTTCAAGGAATAATAATTGTCTTAAAACATTTTTTAAAAGTGAATATTTGCAAATTATCTTTTTTTCTATCTCATAATCTGAGTTCGTTTCCAGTTCGTTATGTCCATTTGACAGCACAATTTTTTTTTAAATTATCTTTTTTGTCTTATTATTTTCTTGTGATTTTAGCAATTAAAAAAATTTTTTTTAATGATTTTGATGGTTACTATATCGTTAGAACTGACGAGGGTCAACCCAGACCGAAATTTATTTTCAATAAACGTGGAACTAACATCTACTTTTTTTACTCTACAGAAGTTTGGTCCATTACCATCACCGAATTTTAAATCAGATGAAACATTGTATGACATATTCAGTGGATCTTATACTTAAACTTTTTTTTGTGTTAAAATATTCAAAACTTTGACGTCCTTAAAAAAATATTTTGTAATTATATAAATTTTTTGTGAAAATGAACTTTAAAAAAATCATATTTTGAATCAATAAAAAAAAAGATTGATTTTAGTTTTCATATAGTTTTGTGACTTAGTTTAAATAAGCCTGTTTAAAAATTTTGTTTTGACTGTTTATCAAGTAAAAAGAGCCTTTGTTTAAATATCTTGAAAACCACAGCCGATTATGTAACTTGACATTACCGAATATAAGAGCTTTGTTTAAATATCTTGAAAACCACAGCTGATTGTGTAACTTGACATTACCGAATATAAGAGCTCTTTGTTTAAATATCTTGAAAACCACAGCTGATTGTGTAACTTGACATTACCGAATATAAGAGCTCTTTGTTTAAATATCTTGAAAACCAGTGCTTATTGTGTAACTTGACATTACCGAATATTTTACATTATACGGTTTCCAAAATTTCAATTATCATTAAAGTGAATATATTTCTATTTTTAAACTTAAAACAGCTTGCAAAAAAAATTTCACACGTTTTTGTAGATTAAATTGAATAAATCACACAACATCTTTGCATGAAGGGTCATTTGAGCTTACGTTTGTACATTCCCTATAATCTCCCTGATATAGGTTTTCTATCTGGTCTGTTAGTCTCTGTAAACGATGTACTTATTTGATTGGAATGCATAGTATTCCTTAGATTAAAGATGATATCTAGTAGATCCTAGATATACATGTATTTATCTTACATGAAGATTAAAGAATATATCGTACTTTATCAGTACTCACAACGATTCAGACTGATGTAAAAAGTTGCACCAATTTATGGACTGGGTTGATTTTAAAGTGAATGTCGTCTTCACCTCGTCAGTTTTGAAGCATGTACATTTAAGAACTACAAAGAGCTTAAGCTTTAGTTTAAAAAAATCAATTGTCAAAATCAGAATCGATTTTTGGAACACAGTGCAGTGTTCACTGTATTTTTTAAGTAAGTATCAAAAAAGGATTGCTGTTCATAACATTTCTTAAACATTAATTATAAAACTTTAAAAAGGTTTTCCTTGCTATTCTTTTTTTAGTCTATGTGAAACATTTTAGTTGTATTTGACCAGTCGTTTAGATGTATTCACAAAATTATTTTCCGACTAGACCAATTATGAATAGTAACCTAGATACTTGTTATATATTCCATAATGAGGTCGGGAAAATCTTAAATAAATATTTAAAACAAAGAAACTGATTTTTCTGCTCACACACTAATTTTCCAATATCTTATTCTTTGCAACCTGATTTCACAAACCTTTGTTTTTTTAAAGCTAAGAGTTGTGCTAGATCAAATAGTTAAAGTTTGAAATAAGGTTGCGAAGATGTAGGTATAAGGAAATTAAACTAAGAGGAAAGTGTTCAATTTCTTTCTTCAACTAAACTTGGGGTGTGTACAGCAGTACCCTGACCGAAGAAATAGTGTGTTTCGGTGGACAGAGAAGGATTGTTTAAAAATTTGAATATTTTCCTTATGAATCATGACGTAATCTTCACAGGTCACCAGCTGATCACCGTTACAGTCCTAGAGTACAATGATCAAAGATTACAAATATTACAGACTAAATACAGTAATAGCTGAAGTGCCCGGCGTTGCCCGTGCAATTTTAAAAAACATTTTTTTTATTTCAATTTTGAAGAAAAAAATTGATTAAATTTTCTTTTTTAGCCTTTTTAATGTGTTTTCTCATAAAAATGTCAACCCATTAAGTTCTGCCGTTTCGCCAGCAATAGCTAACATATATATAGATATATACATATATTTGAGCAAAGAGCTTTATTATATAAATACAATGTAAAAAATAGTTTTCGCCATAGAGTACAGTACAGTACAGTACAGTAGAGTACAGTACAGTACAGTACAGTACAGTACAGTACAGTACAGTATGACAGAAAATGCATTGTACGAACACATTGTACTCACAATTCATTATAAAATCTATTTCAAACCTTGAGTACAATAGTATATAGGAATAGAGTGAGTTCGCTTGTACATTTGTACAAATGTACAAAGGAAAAAGTACCATAGTACATAATAGTCATAGAGTGAGTTCGCTTGTACATTTGTACAAATGTACAAAGGAAAAAGTACCATAGTACAGGATAGTCATAGAGTGAGTTCGCTTGTACATTTGTACGCCTCTGCCTAAGCCTAATGTATGACATTAGTTGAAGGGATTTTGTTTACTGTTTACATATTTAACCTGAGCTGAAAACTTTAGAATTAGATATCCTTAATCCCAATTATTTTCTTCTTAAACCGTTCTTTCTTAGATATAGTAGAGAAAAATCAAAAACCGGTTTTTTAAATTTAGAGAGTCCCTCGTTTCTGTATATAATCTTAAATGCCGCCGCAAGATTTCAAATTTATCGGCTTCATATATGCGACGCTTATTGGTTGAATTCTATACTCTTTTCAGGATACAAGAACAAGATTAGGTTAGTCTTGATATTAAGAAAAAGATCGAGGATCAAGTATTAATCTCAATATCCACCATTCTAAAGTTTTCAGCTCTGGCTACAAAGTTATTGATATTGTTCCTAAAAAAAACATGCTTTTTTGTTTTAACTGTTTTAACACGCCCTTTTTTAAATATTTGATCTTGATTGATTTTGAACTGAAAACTTTAGAATGGTGGAAATCGAGATCAATGCTTGATCTCCTCTTTTTCTTAATCTCCAGATTAAATAATGCTTGTTCTCCTCTTGTTATTAATCTTCAGAGCTGGGAACTTTAGAATGGTGGATATCAAGATTAATGCTTGATCCTCTCTTTTTATTAAATTAAATTAAATTCAACCAATCAGAGTCGCGTATCTGAAGCCGGGAAATTTTAAATTTTGTGCGCCATTTTAAATTAATATACAGAAACAGGAAGGACTTTCAAATTTAAAAAACCGGTTTTTAATTTTTTCTCTACTACAGGGTATCCCACGAAACATGACAATAGCAAGACGACTTGAAAGTCGTCTTTGATATATGAATTTAATTGCGACATTTAGTCTTCTATCTACTTTAACATGTATGATTCTTGAAACAATTATTACATAATTCTCCTAGCCCTGGCATTTCCAAAAAGTGGTCTGCGTTTTTTGTGATTTCAATATTACCGGAGATATAAAGAGTTTGGTTCAGATTTCAATTTTTTAAATAAAAGCAAAATTGTCGAAATCTGAACGAAATTCTTCATATCTCGGTCTATATTGAAAGCACAAAAAAGGCAGACCACATTTTGGAAATGGCAGGATAAGGGATATTTTGTGATATTATTTATAGAAATTTACTTCTATAATTAGGTTGACAAATAAACGCAGCAAATTATATCAAAAATCAAGACGACATTCCAGTCGTCCTGCATACTGTCATGTTTCGTGGGACACCCTGTATATCCAAAAAAGAGTGGATTAAGAAAGAAATTAAAAGTTTCCAGATTGGATATTCGGATCAAGCGGTCGAGATTAAAGGTATTCAATTCTAAAGTTCCCAGAGCTGAAAACTTTAGAATGGGATATCCTTAATTCCGATCGGTTTATTAATATGGAGATTAATAACAAGAGGAGAACAAGCATTATTTTAGCTCGAGATTAAGAAAAAGAGTGGATAAAGCCTTAATCCCAATATCCACAATTCAAAAGTTCCTAGCTCAGATTAATCCCGAGATGGGAACTTTTGAATGGGATATCCTTAATCCTGATCGGATAATTAATCTGGAGATTAAAAATGAGTGGAGAAAAAGCAATATTTAATCTGCAGATTAAGAAAAAGAGTGGATTAAGCCTTAATCCCAATATCCACCATTCTAAAGTTTTCAGCTCAGATCTGTTAACTTATCAGAGCTGAAAACTTTAGAATGAAATATCCAGATATCCGATCGGTTAACTTCTCTGGAGTTTAAATTCATGTGGAGAACAAGCAATATTTAAACTGGAAATTAAGAAACTTTATTTGAAAAGAGTGGTTTAAGCCTTAATCCTGATATCCACCATTCTAAAGTTTTCAGCTCTGGAGATTAAATTCATGAGGAGAACCAGCAATATTTAATCTGGAGATTAAGAAAAAGAGTGGATTAAGCATTAATCCTGATATCCACCATTCTAAAGTATTCAGCTCAGTCTGGATTAAGGTTATCCACCATTCTAAAGTTTTCAGCTCTGACTGATTTAAAATTGGAATTTGTGAGTTTTGTGAAAAAAATTCGCGCATTTCTAAGATTTTTCTATGAAGTGTTAGTTATGAAAAATACCGCCGGGTTTTAATGACATTTTTATTTATGCTTGCACAGGTGAACACCAGCTCTTTCCAAAGGAATGTCATTTACTCTCAGACAAAGAAGAATCAATGGAAATTTAAACCCTCGATGGATTCAATGTTAAACCCGATACATTGTAGAGTCGACCCAGCACATTTTATGCAACAAATGTAGTCTGGCAAAATCATAGTGCAGTATATTACAAAGAACATTATATTAGTATTAAAATTATTAAGAGTGCATAAACATATCAAAGTCAAAAAGTACAATAGTACGGTGTCCGAAGTCCGAATTTAATGAATTTGAGCCGCGTTTCAAATCCGCTAAAAAACCGGTTTTAATTTAGCGCCGGCTTTAATTTTAAAACATTGAAAACAATGTTCTGTGGAAACAAACATATTTGAGCCGCGGCTCAAATTCTTTAAATACGGCCTCGAATTTAATTAATTTAAGCCGCGCCTCAAATCCCCCAAAAAAATCGGTTTTAATTAAGCGCCGGCTTAAATACAATTTTAAGTGGAACCAACCATATTTGAGCTGCGGCTTAAATTTAAGCCGCGGCTCAAATTCGACCTCAGAATGATCAAAACCAATTTTACAGAATAACCTCTTGTATACTCCTACAGAATATCCTCTAGTAAAGATTACAAAATGGAATACAACAAGACTCTAATATTATCCTGATTAAAAGTATTTCATTTGTACCAAATAACCTCATGTACAGGTTTATGTACATATGAACAAAATAACCTCATCCTCATGCAGAAGACGAAACGAGACTTTCAAGCGGACTTTTTGTTAGTCTTTTGTCTCTGTAGCAGGAAACTTGTTTTTATCTTTGCCAAGTCATTAAACATATTTTTTAAATGCTTTATTTAAAGCAGAATTCCAAATTTCACTTTCATTTAAGTAGTTTAGGTCGTTCTTAAAGTCTTATCTCTGTATAACGAATAATCTTGGAATATTAAAATAAAAAAGATATTTTGTAACCTAGATTTTCTATTTTTATACAACACTTCATGGCAATGCGTATAATTAATGTTTATTGGTTTGCTTTTCACGCCAAAAACTTTATTCGTGTATTGTTCAAAATTTAATGTAGTTTTTACAAGACCTATAAACACGAAACTATCTTCTCATTTCTCTAATGATAAAAACAAGGTCAAAGTTTCACAATAGCAACATGTGTCTTCACTACACTGTTCATACTAAACTGTACATTGTGGACTGTACAGCACAAAGAAGGCTGTACACTGTACAACGTACACTTACAATGTACAGTGTACATTATTCACTAAAACCAAACCATTTAAAATAAAACATAGGTTATGATATTATAAGGTTGGTTTCGTCATAATTATCAATTATTGTTATCAAAGAGACTAAAGGAATCCTCCATTTAAAGATTGTTGAATTTTGACAATTTCTAAATTTGTCTCTGCAGCATAAATCCGCAAGTCACAGTTTTATATACACCTCAATTGAAAACAGTCAATTTTCAGCCTGAAAATATGGATATCTCATTGTTTCTCGAATCAGAAAGAAGTGAGAGCTGAATTTTCACTTAAAAATGATGAAATAATTAATTTAAAATGAAATGGTATGATTTACTTTGTATATAAATGTCCCTAAATGATAAAGATATAACAAAGATCAGATTAAGTATTGTGGACAACAAAAGAAGTCATTGTTTTAGTTAATTTTAATTTTATCTAGAGAATATTTTTTTAAATTTTTTATTGGATGCAATTAACATTTAACATTTACAACTAAAATGCAAAATATTACGCAATTACGCAATTACGCAATTTAAATTATATTTTAGTTAAATTACTGAAATCAGATGGAAAAATCAATTAGCTTTATCCATTTTGCTGTTAAAGAGAGGTGCCGCAAATCTTGAAAGAGAAAAGAGGAGAAAATGATCAGTATTAATGATCAGTATTAATGATCAGTATTAATGATCAGTATTAATGATCAGTATTAATGATCAGTATTAATGATTAGTATTAATGATCAGTATTTTCAGTTACACTGAAAATACTCCCGGTGTCAGTTTTCCTACTGCGATATTTAGGTTAAGGTTAAGGTAAAGGTTAAGGTTAAGGTTAAGCCTTAAATCCTTTTGTAATATGCAAGTTTTTGCACTATTTTATTTTTCTCTCCTAATTTTGTGAACGTTCCCTTTCAATAATAAGTTTGTTAAATTAATTTGCATTGTCATTTCTAAAATTCAAATATTCTTTGTGTGCAATTAACCAGCCGTGCTAGGTGGACCACCGCAACATATTTCAGCAGGATTTCGAAATATTTTTAACCTCCAAATATTCCGATTTATCTATATAATAAAGCTCATCACTCATTTATTTGTTAGCTATAGCTGGCCAAACAGCTGGACTACATTGGATGCAATTTTTGAGGAACCCATTTTGACAGGTGACAAAGGCTGAAAAAAATATAACTTTTTTCTTTTAAAATCTGGGTTGTTTTTAGAGCGTTTTTAAAATTCCACGGGCAACGCCGGGAAATTCAGTTAGTCTGTCTGTTTGATTGTCTGTCCGTTTGTATATAAAAAAACTTCAAAACGGCTAAACCTATCGTGCCCAAATTTTGTGTGTGACCTCATATGACCCCAAGGAAGGTTTATGAAACATCAAAATTTCTGGAAAATAGTTGGTTTTTTGTTGAAAATGCAACAATTCACCAAGAAAAATACGCCAATATTTGAAAATGATTTACATTTGCCAAATTTCAGAGCAACCTATAAGTTATAAGCTAAAATTATTTACAGGAAGCGCCCTAAAAGCCTAGTCTATAAATATATAATTATAGATACAATTATAGGCTTGTGGAAGACGACTATCGCCCTCCTTAGCCGATCTCCACAACAAGAGAGGATTAGCTTCGCGGCATGGTACTTTCTAGAATGATCTCGAACCAGCCTTGTGATATATATATATTTGAATTGTATTAAGAGAAGTAGTTGTAGTTATAAAGTAGACCTAAATATATATTGGTACAGTTATTCGTGTTTCAACAGAGTCCGTCCTTCCGACCTCTATAGGCTGGCTGGATAAAATAGTCTAAAACTTTTCAATTTGGATGTCATAGGCTAATGTTGGAAATGTTTAAAAATCAACGGGCAATGGTGAATTTCACTAAAATCCACGATTTAATATAAGGCCCGGGTAAAAGGCGGAATTTGAACTTAAAATATTCTACACTCTCAGAATTGGAAACGTTCACAATTCCTTAAATCAGTTATTTGTAAATTATTCATAATATTTTTACAATTTGTTCATGACCAGAACATATTTGTACATGATCAGAAAATATTTGTACATGATCAGAATATAAAATTACGTGTTATGTACAGTACACTGTACAGTGTCTTTTACCTTCCCAAACCTATTAATGTAAGATCTGATTGTGTTTGCTGCGCAGATAATATCCAAGGAGCATCTTCTCCAACCTAGAGTACAGAGGATTAATGATCTGATTATGTTTGCTGCGAAGATAATATCCAGGGAGCATCTTCTCCAACCTAGAGAACAGAGGATTAATGTAAGATCTGATTATGTTTGCTGTGGAGATAATATCTAGGGAGCATCTTCTCCAACCTAGAGTACAGAGGATTAATGATCTGATTGTGTTTGCTGCGCAGATAATATCCAGGGAGCATCTTCTCCAACCTAGAGTACAGAGGATTAATGTAAGATCTGATTATGTTTGCTGCGCAGATAATATCCAGGGAGCATCTTCTCCAACCTAGAGTACAGAGGATTAAAGATCTGATTATGTTTGCTGTGCAGATAAAAACAAAAGCAAAAAAGCGATATGTCCAGCGTAAAGGCAAGACATTCTGATGTTGACAATTTTGCGATGACATTTTTTGTTTAATTTTCCTTCAGGATTTTAGCAGTTACATTTCAACAAACAAATAAAAAGTGGATGAATTCCCTTCTACATTAAACATCTTGTCATTTCACCATTTATTTACGGACTAACAATTAATTTCAAAAGAATTTTAAAATTTCTCTTTTTATAGGCTTAACGCGATAAAAAAGCGCTTTTGATTGCTACTAATCTTACTTCTATCTGTTGCGTCTATAAGGAGAAAAGTGTTAAAAACTACTCACACAGAAGAACGTAGTGTCCATACAAATTCGGAAAGATACAACTTTCAACTCGGATCGTAAACAAATCAATTTAATTCCAAACAAATCATTCAGATATTACAAACAATAGTCATCGGTTATTTTTCGACGCATTCATATCTAGTTAATATTTCATAATATTTTTGATTTTGTTTTTTAAATTCATTTTCGCTGGCGCTGTATTTTCGAACATTCCTAGAAAATATGAAAATGTCGTCTTCATTATCAAAATCCTCGAAACAGAAAAAATGTAACTCTCAGATCATGAAAAATACAAAATATTATGAAATATCAACTATTTACGAATGCGTCGAAAAATAATCGATGACTATTGTTTGTAATATCTAAATGATTTGTTTGGAATTAAATAAATTTCTTTACGATCCGAGTTGAATGTTGCATTTTTCTGAATTTGTATGAACACAACGTTCTTCGGTATGAGTCGTTTTTAACAATTTTCTCCTCATAGACGCAACAAATAGAAGTAAGATTAGTAGCGATAAAAAGCGCTTTTTTATCGCATTAAGCCTATAACCCCTTTCATTTTTCGCGAACACTCCCTTTAACCGAACAAAAGAGTTCATGGAACCATATTTGTATCCGCAGGTTTTTCAATTTTTTCCGTCCTGATATTTGTAAAAAAAAAAAGATTAAAAAACTGATTTCTCTTCAGGCGTTTAGCTCATCAGTGGTCAAAATACACAATTTCAAATTAACATAATTACACATTTAAATACAGAATATTGAATTGATGAAGCGGCAACCAGTCCAGAAATAAACTAATATTTACAAAAAAGAGATCTGTTATAAATGGTTTTATATAGCATTAGAGTTCTTGTAACAATTAGTTTCAAATGATAAAAGAGTCACTATCAGGTTGGAAAGATATATAAATTTTAAAAATTAGAGTTAGAGGCAAGAAATAAGTTCCTCCATCCATCAAGTTCGTCTGGGGGAATGGTTGGCCAATTTTTACCGAAAGTTACATCTATAGTTTTAGGGAAAGCAAAGTCGTTTATTTTTACAAAGGAACTTAATTTATTTACCCTTTTATTTCGCGAACATTCCCTTCAAGATTTAATTAATATATTTATTCAGCATGAATTCATACCCCGTGAGTCCGTGGAACTTGTACTAAGGAATTAAAGTAAGCTAAAAATAATCCCAAATCTAAGATTTAACCATGTTTTAATAATGACAAGTTCAATAAAATATCTATCTATCTCTCAATTTTGACACTTTTTCCCATATTACATCTCACACATTGTAATTAATCGTTTTTTCTCACAGAAATCACTTTTTACAACAATCTGATATTTTTCCAAGGAGATTGTTGCAAATATGGTTTACACCAGGGGACTACCAGGAGACTACCAGGGGACTACTAGGGGACTACCAGGGGACTACCAGGGGACTACCAGGGGACTACCTGGGGACTACCAGGAGACTACCAGAAGACTACCAGAAGACTACCCGGGGAATACCAGAGGACTACCTGGGGACTACCAGGGTAATAGAGATAGATGTTAAGCTAAAACTTACTCTCTGGGTCCTGACTATTATCTCCCTCTATCACACATTGTCCTGCATCCGTCCAGAAACTTTTAGAGATGAGGAAAGGTCCACAGAAAGAATTCTAAAAATAACTATTTTTATTTATTTTTTAAATTTTAGTTTTTTGTTGTTGCTTTTATCGTGGGCATTTTTTTTGTTAATTTTCTTTTAGTAATTGTTTATTTTGTAATTTAGTTGAAGGTCCCCACAGAGGATATAAGAGTGGAAAATAAATTGAGTTTTTGACACAAACTCCATGATTTTCTAATCCCATATTTCTTTGCAATCCAATTCAAATGCCGTAGACCTTAGATATTTTAAACTATAAATCAAATAATCTAAGTTTGAAATATCAAAGATTTGCACCATTTTATAGGTTAAAAAGATAAAGGAAATATAAAAAAAAATACTTTTATAAGAAGTCTAGGGAGGGGGGGCACTGCCCCCTGAATACGTACCCCTCCAACACACTGAGTTGCTTGGTCGCATCTTGTACTGGCTTCACAGATGCATCCTATACAGTTATCACTCAGACCAAGAGGGGTTGGATCACACTGGTAGTTGCTCTCTAAATATAAATAGTTTTAATAGTTATCTACGTAGTTTTAAATGGCTCTCTATTCAAAGGGCGTCATACGTAATTTACAAATTTGGCTATTAAACCTTTATACAGGGTGTCCCAATAAACATGGGAATTCATTGACGAATTCTATATAGTCTTTTCAAATAATTCTTTGATTTAGTATAGTGATACCTACTGAGAAAGCTGCAATCTGTAAGAGTTTCGTCTGCTATGTTCACATTTTGTTTGTTTTGACTGCATACGGTTGTACTTGCACTACAAGAAAATTGCAGTACACAAACAGAGTAAACTTGTCCGTATTCCTGTTCATCTTGCGGAGACATTATAGACACATCTTTACAGCCATTTACCGTTTTCATAAAATAAACTCTAGCAGACGTAATAATATGATGGCTTTTGAAATTAGATATTACAGTGCTAATTCATAACAAAGACGATATCGAATTCGTCACTTAATTCCCATGTTTTTTGGAACACCCTGTAAGTATCGATGATAACGTCGGTTTCTACTCTGCATGAAGCAGCCTTTTCAGGACGTAACTCATAACTTGGACCAATTTGATGTAGAAAACTGATATTTAGTTCTGTCCCATTTTTTCTCAGAAAAGAATACAATGTTTAGATACTGTTGGGAATCATTTGCGGCACTCTTTAATTGTTGAGTCACTGATAATCATGTTGGTGAAATTATTAAACCTTTATTTTTATGATAAATTTGATGAGATGTGAACATATTAAAAGGATTTTGAGGAGCTATTTGCAGAGTTCTTTTTCATCTACCGTAATAACCGGAAAACAGTGGAAAAATTGTCGTCAAAAAATTCAAGAAATGTGCCCCATCCTTATCCTTTAAAAAAAAACTTATTCGGTTGTCTTTAAAAATGTGGGTTCTGAAAGAATCTAGCTAAGGTTTATGTAAAGATGGAGCAGATAATAAGAGGAATCTAAGGTTTATGTAAAGATGGAGCAGATAATAAGATGAATCTAAGGTTATGTAAGAATGGAGAAGATAATAAGATGAATCTAAGGTTTATGTAAGAATGGAGAAGATAATAAGATGAATCTAAGGTTATGTAATAATGGAGAAGATAATAAGATGAATCTAAAGTTTATGTAAGAATGGAGAAGATGAGAAGAGGAATCTAAGGTTTATGTAAAGATGGAGAAGATGATAAGAGGAATCTAAGGCTTATGTAAAGATGGAGAAGATGATAAGATGAATCTAAGGTTATGTAAGGATGGAGAAGATAATAAGATGAATCTAAGGTTTATGTAAGGATGGAGAAGATGAGAAGAGGCATCTAAGGTTTATGTCAGGATGGAGAAGATGAGAAGATGAATCTAAGGTTTATATAAGAATGGAGAAGATGAGAAGAGGAATCTAAGGTTATGTAAGAATGGAGAAGATCATAAGATGAATCTAAGGTTTATGTAAGGATGGAGAAGATGAGAAGAGGAATCTAAGGTTTATGTAAGGATGGAGAAGATGGTAAAAGGAAGGGAAGGGTTTGGAGAAAGTGCGGTGAAAATAGTAGCTGACAAGCTAGAATATATTAAATATGATGTATTTACTCTGTACACTACATAGAATAGAATACACAACTTTTATATTTTAAACATACATTTTATTCAGTCAAATTTCTAAGGAGTATGAACAGAAAAGAAAGGATGATTGAGAAAGAAAAGAAAGAATAAAAGGTCGAAAGAAAAAGGTTGAATGGATACAAAGAAAGAATGAAAAACAGCACGTAATATTTAAAAAGGAAAAAGGATGAAAGGAATAGGATACACGTAATACGTAAATATGAAAAGGTATGAAAGGATGAAAGGATGGAAGGATAGACATGCATAACAAGTAAAGAGATGAAAGTATGAAAGGATGAAAGGAATAGGATACACGTAATACGTAAATATGAAAAGGTATGAAAGGATGAAAGGATGGAAGGATAGACATAACAAGTAAAGAGAAGAAAGTATGAAAGGATGAAAGGAATAGGATACACGTAATACGTAAATAAGAAAAGGTATGAAAGAATGAAAGGATGGAAGGATAGACATAACAAGTAAAGAGATGAAAGTATGAAAGGATGAAAGGAATAGGATACACGTAATAAGTAAATAAATGAAGGTATGAAAGGATAGAAGGATAGACATAATAATCAAAGAGATGAAAGGATGAAAGGACACACATAATAAGTAAAGAGATGTAAGGATGAAAGGATGATAAACGATATATCACACAAGCTGTGCCGATGGTCAATGAGAATGACAGTCACGTTGCTTGTTTCTTCACTGTAAGCATCATTTTAGGTAGTCCTCCATGATAAACGAGATAGTGAACGAGATATCCTTAGTTTTCCAGTTAAAATATATTATTTTCAATTGTGGTTTTTCTTTAAAACTACTAGAGGAATTCATGCTACAGAGACAACGAAGAAAATTGTCAAGATAGACAAATGACGATATGTTCCTCAGTGTTTCTCAGATAAAGGTTTCAAGGCCACCGAATTGTAAATAAAAAATGCCAACTATTTAAGGGACGGTCACTTAAACAATACCACAAGTTAACAATTATCTCAAATATTTCTTGAGTTATATCAAAATCATATTTTTATAACAGACTGCCTTTGCAACCCCTAGCTTCACCTCGAGATTAAACAATTTGTCTGACCAAGCTAAGAAAATTCCTATGGTTCTACCGAGTAATTCTCTCGTCAACATTTGAAGTTAAATGGTCAAGGGGTTTATGAGTTATGATCTGACATACAAACAGAGATTACAACTTTATGATATTAAATTTATCAGCTATAAATACTAAATATTTAAAAAATACCAAACCTTGGGCTGTTATGGTCTGAATTAGTAGATAGCTAACAAGAAGAGAAATCATGTTTATCTTCAGCTGAATTAAAACTGCCTGGTTAAGGTTGAATATGATTCTCCAGGTTAGGTTTAAACTACGGATTCCAGAGTTCAACTGAGACGGTTCAAACCCACTGAGGTAGATTACTCCACCTATATTGTACAAGGTTATCCACCACCCACCAACCTAAAATATTCAGAATTATCAAAATTATTAAAAAATTTGCTGGTGCTTGTTATCTCTAAAATGTCTTAATTTCTTGACTCTTTTTTTGAATATATCACGTTTTGGGACACTTATTATAAAACAAAAGGAAAGTACAAAAGTATAGATATATAAATATTTATATACTTCTTTAAACAAATATACCAAAACATAGATAGATAAACTTCTACCATGAGCTCCCGAATATATAATCTAACTTAAAAAATTAAACTGTCAAAAAGTTTGGAACGAGAAAAAGTTTTCAAAATTATATATTATATATTAATAAAGGCACAACAGAAAATAGAAAACCATTTTTTTGTCTCTCTATTTGTTTATTTGTCTACGATGAATAGATCAAGATAACATATGCTCTTTGGAATGAGAATTCTAAAAACCCGGTTTGAAATCTTTTGTCTGTTAAGATGTACACCTAGATACAGAGAACCACCGCACTGGGGTTTCCAGTTTAAACCTTAGTTCATTTCTCAGGGGTGTGGCTTAAGCTTCAGCTATTGCTCATCATATCGAACGGAAACTTTTGAAATTTTGTTTCAATAAAACCTAGCTTCGTCATTCTGGTTTCGATGAAGGAAAAGAAATTGAGTCTTTGTCGCAAATTAGGATGTTTAAAAACCAATGTCAAAGATATTTTATATTTTAAACTTTGAATTCTGTTCGATAAAATATCCAAGTTTAAAATAACAAAGATTTACACCATCAGGTTGCAAAGATATGAGGATGTGAAAATTCACTTATCTGGCTTTTGTTCAAAAGTAACAGTTTTAGAAAAATGAGGTGCACATTTTTTTCCCGAAAAAAAAATAAAAATCATCCGCCGAGCATTATTGAAAATGATTCCGCTGATCCTTAATTCAATACGAGTTTTAGACGAGAATAAAATTTATATTCCCTAATCAAAATAAAACATTTTTTCAGACAAACTGCAGATCTTAAATTTTAACAGCTCTTTTTACCCAGACCAAATACATTTTTTTCCAAACTAAACCTATATTTTTGCTAAACAACAAACTGATATTCATTTTAGACCAAACCAATATTCTTTCCAGACCAAATCGGTATTCATTTCAGACCAAACTGGTATTCATTTCAGACCAGACCGGTTTTCATTTTAGACCGAACCAATATTCTTTTTAGACCAAACCGGTATTCATTTCTGAGTAAACATATCAATTTCGTTATGCTATACCAAACCGATATCATATATGGTATACCAAACCTATATTATATATGGTGGACCAAACCGATATCATATATGGTATACCATTATATATGGTGGACCAAACCGATATTATATATGGTGTACCATTATGTATGGTGTACCAAACCGATATCATATATGGTATACCAAACCGACATCATATATGATATACCAAACCGATATCATATATGGTATACCAAACCAATATCATATATGATATACCAAACCAATATCATATATGGTAAACCAAAACCAATATCATATATGGTATACCAAACCGATATCATATATCGTATACCAAACCAATATCATATATGGTATACCAAACCGATATCATATATGGTATACCAAACCAATATCATATATGCTATACCAAACCGATATCTCTAATAGACCAAACCCATTATGTACTTTTACGTACTTGTGATTGAAGAAAACTTAAATTTTCTTGAAATCTTACAAGTACAGAAAAGATGATTTGTACTTTTTTGAAAAATATTTTATACTTCTGCAATATGATATTTACTGAAATTACGCAAATTGGCATGAACAAGTTGAAAGAAACAGATGGAAGATTTGACGTAAACATATGCTAGAGAAATTAAAATATCAGAGTTGAAACATTTCGGCCTTTTACACTTACTCAACCATTATCAACACCTCTCATCTTACTCAACCTTACTCAACATTTCTCCACCTTACTCAACCTTACTTAACCTTACTTAACCTTACTCAACCTTACTCAACCTTATTCAACCTTACTTAACCTAATTCAACCTTACTCAACCTTACTCAACCTTACTCAACCTTACGTAACCTTACTCAACCGTACTCAACCTTACTCAACCTTACGTAATCTTAATCAACCTTACTCAACCTTATTCAATCTTACTCAACCTTACTCAACCTTACTCAACCTTACTCAACCTTACTCAAACTTACTCAACCTTACTCAACCTTATTCAACCTTACTTAACCTTACTCACCATACTCAACCTTATTAACCTTACTCAACCTTACTCAACCTTACTCAACCTTACTCAACCTTATTCAACCTTAACCTTACTCACCATACTCAACCTTATTAACCTTACTCAACATTTCTCCACCTTACTCAGCCTTACTCAGCCTTACTCAACCTTACTCAACCTAACTCAGCCTTACCCAATTCCGTACTCAACCTTACTAAACCTTTCTCAATCTTATTCAATTCCTGACTATTGATAAAGATATATTTAGATATATTGATATATAACATATAATATATAGATATATTTAGATATATTGATAAATAACATATAATATATAGATATATATTTAGATATATTGATATATAACATATAATATATAGATTATAATTAGTGATGAGAACCGAACTAATTAATAAGTTTGGATGTTCATTATTCTGTGTCGGGTTCGAAGATTAATCTTTAATAATTCTGCAGACTATTCTCCTAGTCATAGATATATCCTTCCTCTCCGGACTAATAGTTTAGAAACCAATCCGTCCTTGTATATTACTATGCTTGGATGAAAACCCTGTCAACTAATCTTCGGATATTCTCATTATAAAACCACACAAAACCATCTCTACCTGTAAAAAAACATACGCTATATAATTTACATTATTGGAGGGACATAGAGAAAAAGAATGTTAAAAACTTTATCAATTATAAAATGGCATGTCCGATTCACGAGGGTCACTTGAATTTACGTCTACTGCAGTCCCTTTAAGAATGAAAAGAAAGGCTGAATATGTAGAATAAAGAAAAGCAATCTATATCTCCAGACCTCTAATTATATTATCTCCTACAGCTAGTCAACTAGAAAGAATGAAGACTTAGTTGCTGGTCTATAATAACAAAGATACATATATATATATATAACTTCTTCAATAAGTTCGGAACGTATTTGATCGTTAAAAAAATGAAGTACATAAAATGCAAAGATATTTCTTAGTACGGTTGTACTGTCTTCAGAAATTGACGCGAAATTTTCATTTTACCATAGTTTAAAGAAATTTATTGATATATAAAGAAGTGAAACGAAAAATCTGCGAAAAATAGTCATTCCAAATCTGCACCTTTTACAAAATCTTACAAAGGTTGCAAAATAAATTTTTTTGTTATTTAGAATGTAGTAATAATGCGGAGGATTTTAAACAGGGAATACGTTTTTTGTGTTTTATTTCATAATTTCTTCCTATTTTTAACGGATTTCTTACTTTTTAATTAAAATCATTTCTTTCTCAAGACTTTTTGAGATTCTCCATTTTGTATCAATCTCAACATTTTTAATGAATGTTGCAGAAAATATTTAGGAAACAGATTCGAAATTATGGTTTTGGTAGAATTGGGTTCAAGCAATAAGCATTTGAGAGGCTTCATGGTTCCGTTCACGGGATTTGGTGAAATTATTTTCCGTCGCTTTCTTCTGTTTACTCTAACCCCCGGTTCAAGGTCAAAGTCGAACTATGGAACCGTTTTTCTGTATCTCCTTGTTCGGGAAGGTGGAGAGGAGGGTAGGAAGATGCCTGGGTGGGGAACCCCCTTCCCCACCCAGGCCTAAAGGGGAGGTTTTTATGAAATACAATCAAAGATGTGATCGAATGAGGAAATTCAAATTTAATTTCTAACTATACTATTTGTGTTACACGATAAACCTTATAATTACTGAAGGAGGTCATTTCTACCTACAGATGGTAAATCTCATAACTATGGGCCCCGAAATAATTTCAAATTTTTAACATAAATCTAAATTTCAAAATTTCACTGGATATAATAATAGAATATTTATTGTTTAAAAGCGTTATTTATAAAAATTTGAAATTTTAGTGTTTGCGGGGCCAACCAGGGGAACAGTATGCGGTGTATTTACTCTCAGTTTCCCAAGTATCAGTACTAGACGGATTGGCAAGTGGTCAACATGACTCGTTGGCTGAGCCTGATAGCTATATGTTTGTGTGTAACAGTATCTATAACTCAGGAGAACTATCGTCAACCCTACAAGTTCGTTGCTCCTTACCCCTTAGATATGTATACCAGCCCTGGTACTACCCCTGGAGATACTACGACAAATGAACCTGAGATTTCTGAGGATGAGGATGAATCAGCTGGTGTCGGTAGAATAGGAGAGGCTGCTACAGCAGATATATCTCTAATGTCGTCTTCGCTGAATGCTCCGGAACCTCTCCCAGAGCCTAAGAGCCTGGTTGATAACAGATCTAGGTCCAGGAAGAAGGTTAAAGAGGAAGCGGTTGAGAAGAAAGAGGAGAAGAAGGATTTGATGGAGAACCACAAGGTTGAGAAGGATAAACTTGAACCTAGAGCTATCCTAAACCGACAGAGAATACCGCCTAGACCTGAAGACGAGTACTACTATTACTATGACGACTACTACTATGATGATTACTACCCGGAGAAGGATCCAGTAAGACAGGAAGAGAAACCAGTTATCCCTCCTACCCAGAGCTATCCCAGAAAATCTCCAAATACTCCTAATCCTCCGAGAACCAAGGAAACCTTGAAAAAAGAAACCAAACCAAAGAAAGAAACCTACAAGGAAAAGAAACCGCTGAAGCCTGAAAATGAGAACAAGAAAGCTGGATTGAACCTGGAGGAGAGAGAATACAATATTCAGAATACTTTAAACAGGCTGAAGGGTCTTAAAGGAAACCATGTGAAGAAACAAGGCAGGCCGCAAACAACTTTAAAAAAGAATCCCTGGGAACAATTTGATCTTCCTCCCAGAAAGAAACCAGCTCCAAGGTGATACTTTTTATAAAACTTAAACCTAAATAAAACTTAGGAATAATTGTGTAAACTAAATTTGACTTGAGTAATCCTAATCAAACCTGCGCAATTTTGAGTAAAGTTAAGAAAAGCTGCAAATTAAACCTGATAGATTAAACCTTTGTAGATATAAGTAAATTTGAGTAAACCTATTTCAACGTGAGTAAACCTATTTCAATCTGAGTAAACCTAGTCCAACATGAGTAAAATATTTCAACGTGATTAACCCTAGTTCAATTTAAGTACACTTTTTTAACGTAAGTAATCCTATTTCAACGCAAGTAAACTTATCTGAGCGTGAGTAAATTTATTTCAATGTGAGTAAACTTATTTTTAATCTGAGTAACCCTTAATTCTAAAAAGGCTCAGTCCATGTATAGACTGGGTGCGCCCTATGATAAAAGCTTTAGAGTAAAGGTATAAAGGTATATGGTTACAATGCATGTTCATAGCCCAATTTTTGAAGGTTAGCTCATTGAAAAAAATTTGACCGCTAAATTAATGGTACGGGTGCCAGGGAGGTTTTAAAAAATGTAAAAAATAATTTTCTTTTTGATAAATGATAACATGTCTCAAGTGTTTTACATCCTTATTTTAAGGGCGTCATAAAAACGTAAGTTTTTAGATGAGTAGATTATAAAAAAAACAAGCCTGGTTGAGTACATCTGATATACTAGAGTAAAGTACTGTAAACCGTTAAGGGTGATTTCTTTTCTGTCTGATAAAGTGTTGCAGACATGAACCGGACAATGAAATATTTCTAATAATCTATAAAATACAATTTCTATTTTCGAATGTTTTCTTTCTGTTTTTTAATTTTTAAGTTTACAATTATTGTAATCTTCTCGTCGATAAACATAAAACTATTTGTATCCTCGTCCAATTAACGTAACCCAATCTATTTTCTTTTGAAATCGACATAACACCGTCGGGTTTTCTTCTCTACCATCGATATTAACCCTTTGTTTCCATACCGATCCAATCAAAATAAAACCGATAATTCCCTTTTTATAATCCACACCCACAAACAGTTATTTCTCTTTTAAAATCAACAAAATTATACAAATTATATAAATTATATATTGGTTCTCTTTACAATCGACATAAACCAATAGTTACCTTTTCCAATCGACCCAAAACCGTTGGTTCCCTTGTACAATCGACATAAACCTTTAGATCCTGTTTCTAATCGACTTAAAATCATCATTGTTCCCAGTTTACCATTTGACTCAAAACCGTTCATTTTCTTGTCCGATCGACCGTTGGTTCCCTTTTACTTTCAATTTAAAACCATTGGTTTCCTTGTAAAATCGACTTAGACCCATTAGTTCTCTTGGACAATAGACGTAAAACCATTGGTTTGATTTTAATATATCGACTTAAACCTTGGATTCCGTTTCAAATCGGCTTAAACCGTTGGATCCCGTTTTGAAAATTCGTTGGTTAAGCATCCGTATTCCAACCTTATTTATCATATCTATCTTCGAAGATTTTATAATGATTTAAGGATTGGTGGGTCCCTCTGCCCCTATTATATAATGATACATCCATGTATTGGAATCCAATAGTTTATTTCAGAAGAAAGTGGGGGGGGGGGTATAGAGGTATGGGAGGTTGAGGGGGGATGTCTCAGGATCTAAGATTATAGTAAGTTTGTCCGACAATATTTTTGTTGACGGTATTATTCTCAGCGTGAGAACTTTAATTGGATATCGGTCTTTCTCCCTTGGGGAAAACCATTCATTAAATTTATTTACAGAAACGCTATGTAAATTTTACTTTTGGTAAATAATTCCTAATTCGAGTTTTTGTTTATTGTTTCTAAAATATTTAATATTTTGATATCTTTCATGGATCAAGGTTCTTTAAGCAATAAAATATACACATATATCTTACTGATTGTAAAATTACGTAATATTCCTAATTTGCTCATTAAATCCCCCCGTCTCCCCCCCCCCCACCGCAACATGTCTGGAAAATCAACGAAAAGAGCAATCATTGTTTAAAAGAGTAATAAATCCTTCCCCCTCCCCTCCCGTCTCAAGGTTTGCATGCTTAATATTATAAAACTACCTTCATTAGACCTTATGACGTGGATTTAAAACCTTAATATCAAAGTATGCATATTGTATACATATACAATTAATGATTTGATATTGTTTTGATTCACCCATCATCATAATTTTTAATGTTTTTTCTACAAAAATAATATTTGACAACAAAATTTTATGAATTAAAAATATTTTTTTTTCGATGGCTACATTAAATTTCGTAAGAAGTTAAAACTTATGTTTTTAGTCACTAGTTAGCATTAAAAGTAAAATCAATTTAAAAATCTAGCATTTTTTAATTTAGACCTGTCCCGGAGAGGAAACCTTTAAGGAAACCTGTAGCATTTAGACCTCAGGACTTATATGATTACAATGATGCTCCAGTCAGACCTATACGTAGACAAGGTAACCCTAAACCTTACTCTGGGTCGATATATATCCTCACCTAAACCTTACTCCGGTTCAATATATCCTCACCTAAACCTTACTCCGGTTCAATATATCCTCACCTAAACTTTACTCCGGTTCAATATATCCTCACATAAACTTTACTCCGGTTCAATATATCCTCACCTAAACTTTACTCCGGTTCAATTTATCCTCCTAAACCTTACAACGGTTAAATATATCCTTACCTAAACTTTACTCTGGTTTATTATATCCTCTCCTAAACCTTACGCCGGTTCAAGATATTATCTCCTAAACCTTACGCCGGTTCAAGATATTATCTCCTAAACCTTACGCCGGTTCAAGATATTATCTCCTAAACCTTACTCGGGTTCAAGATATTATCTCCTAAACCTTACGCCGGTTCAAAATATCCTCTCCTGAACTTTACTCCGGTTTAAGATATTTTTGCCTAAACTTTACTCCAGTTTAATATATCAATATTATAACCGTACTTTATTTCATGGTTCCTTAACCCCACATTAAATTCCTCTTTATCTTCTATCTCTATTTTATTTGATTTTCCCTTTTCACTTAATTTATTCAGATTTATTTTGAAGAAATTCATATTTCTTTATATTGAAGGTGACCGTTTTTATCATTTTCACATTCTGCCGGAGCTTGACGGAAATGAAAAATTGATTTAAACCTTTACATTGGAATAAAGAAAATCAAATTTTTGTTTCTACCAAAATGGCCATTAATTAACTGAATCAAAAGCCCGTTCTAAGCCGGTGGTTGGCCTCACAAATTTTTGTATGACCAAAAAAAAATGCGCTATGGACATAACATTTTCATTAAATAATCTTAAATAAAATTTAGTAAATAATGATTTACATAAAAAACCTTGGAAAAGAACATGTTTTCTCGGTAAAGGGAAAGACAAAATCCAGATTGATCAAAAAAGATCAATTTTCTTTTAAGGTTTTTATTTAAACGCTAGAAAGGGAACAGAATTTTTTATTAAAGAATGAATCCGCATAATTCGTTATTATTCATTAATATATTCAAATAGATAAAAAAATTAATTAATACCGTCCTTGACGGATTAATAACTTCTGTTTAACAAGAACATTTATTGCTCAGCTGAGCGTTAAACCTGACAATATTCTCCGGTCGTGAACCTGAACCCGGAGAAACCTGAGCTTTGTGTCAAACCATAAAACTATTTAATTTAATCATTTCATTTGGCATAATTTGTAGATGTAGATTAAATGGTTTAATGAACTGGGTTTCAATTATAAAACGAGGATTGATTCTGCAATTTAAAGAATTAAATAAGTCGTCTTTAATTTTCAATTTAAAACAACAAAGACACAAAATTTTTGATCTTTCTAAAATATGTATTTAGAAAATGATTTATTCACCAATTTGGCACTAGGCCGTGAAAATCTTGGCATTCTCAGGATTTATTTTTATTTCCGCATTTTATAAAAGACGATTTGAGTCGTTCATTTGGAAAGGAATTGAAGTATTTAGACTCTGATTTTACAATCCAAATATCTTTGCAACCCGATGTTACAGATATATTTCAAGCTATGAATTCTGTTAGATCAAATAATCTAAGTTCAAAATACCAAAGGTTTACACCGCCTGGTTGCATAGCTATAGAAATTAGAAAATTTGAGTTTGTATCTAAGACTCAATTCCTCATCGTGTAATAACTTTTTGGGTTTAAAACCTGAGTTTAAAATGTTAAGGGGGTGGAGGAGGAGTAAACCCTCTGGCTCTCCTGGTAGCTCCTCTAGCTGGTATAGCACTACTCATGGCTGCAGCTGCAGTAGCAATCAACCCCGTTCTTGTAACTGTATCTCTTACTGGGAAGAGAAGGAAGAGAGGGGCTGAGACAGATGAAGGGATAACTCCAGAGCTAGAAGAGAAGATTCATGAAATGCAGGTATACGCACTTATATACGTTTCTACTCATTTTCACAATAAAAGTGTAATTTCAAGTGACCTTCCATGCAAAGATGGCAATACCCGATTTACAACGGTACTCTGGAAAGATTTGTTTTATCAAGTAAGAATTAGATAATAGATATCTATGTTATTTTTACTTAAAACTGTTTTTAATTTGCGGTTTCTCTGCGAAAGTGACTTGCGCATTTCTTGCTTATAATAAGCATAAGAGTCTGAAAAACGACAATATCTACCACGTTACATTGATCAGATTAAGGTTTCAAAGGTACCGTTGTGAATCAGACATCCCTATTTGTAACATTCTTTTTCTAATCCCACATTTTTAAAAAGGTTATTTTAAAAAAAAAGGCTCATTAACATTTCGCCATGTAACATTTCGCCATGTAACATTTCGCTATATAACATTTCGCCATGTAACATTTCGCCATGTAACATTTCGCTAAATAACATTTCGCCATGTAACAACTCGCCATATAACATTTCGCTATATAACAACAACTCGCCTATATATAAATCTTTAAATTAAATTGTAGTTCAAATGAAATTATACCAGAAAATCCACGAATCAAAAACCAGAAATCCGCAATTACAGTAATTCTAACAATGTCGGAAGTGCTGCACGTATCTACAACTCAGCGGGGGGAAACCATCTTAGGTAAACATATAATACAACTTCTCCTACACTAAATTTAAATCTACTTTTATATGAGCTAAACAATGTTTCATAATTTTATACAATTACATATATTTACTACTAAACTACTAATCAACTAGTATTTTCTACTAAATGAAATTTATTATTTTGTTTTTTGTTTTTATATGGCGAGTTGCTGTTTTATCTCGAAATGTTATATGGCAAGTTGTTATATGGCGAAATGTTACTTAAGCAAGTTGTTATATGGCGAGATGTTACTTAGGCGAGTTGTTATATGGCGAAATGTTATACGACGAAATGTTATATAAAAAGTTTTTTTCTAAATAATATGAAAAACTATTTTTTAGATTCTTGAAAGGTTTATGGCTTCGGTTCCAGATAATATGAACTATCAGCACCAGGTAAAAGGATTTATTCTAGGTTTATTTAAGATATATTTTAGGTTTAGTTCAGATATTTTCTAGGTTTAGTTCAGATATATTTTAGGTATAGTTCAGATATATTCTAGGTTTACTTCAGATATATTNTATAGATTAATAGATTAATTTTTACATTTGTTGTCATATTTTAGAAATTTGGCATGATAATATTCGTAAAAATAGATACTTCACGAACAAGAGAAGGTTTTTTGATTGAGGAAAAATTCTGATTATTCTACATGTTTTTAATTTAATTTTAACCGACATTCAATCACAAGCTTGGTTGTATCTGAAGGTCGTCATTTAATAATAGAAACCATATACATCAGGAAATAATATGAAATTTTTTTAAATAAACTTTACAGGTGGACCACTACTCTTTAGTTAATAAAACACAACATGGAACCCGAACCCCCCAGTCCCAATTCCTAGTGTAAACGACCCTGCAAAAATTTAACATTAAAAAAATCGGCCAAGTTTAGAAGATTTCCTATTTTTAAATGTCTTCTGTCTCCAAGAAAAAGTTTTGCTTATATTCCCGGCCATTAGACGACATTTTGCTGGCATTATTAAATTTCTGTTTTAATATATCTAATTAAAGACTAGGTTTAGTATCTTTCTTCATAATAATATAGGTTTTTGATTGAACTTGCTCTAAACGGTTGAGACATACCTGCAGTGAAACCTGTGAAACAGAAAAGATTTTTTGATGACGGAATAGATAGATATATCAGTAGATAGATGATATATAAATAGATGTAAAAAATATGGAGATAGATAGATAAATTGATAGATAGATATAGAAAGATATAACGATAGATAATGAATAGATAGATAGATATATAGATAGAATGATGGATTGCTGGATAGATGGATAAATAGATAACGGATAGATAGATAGATATATAGAATGATGGATTGTTGGATAAATGGATAGATAGATAACGGATAGATAGATAGGTAGGACCATATGGTTAAATGCCCTTGGTTTTAATTGCAAGGCGTAAGTTTGGACATTTCTCTGTAAACATTGAACCATCTTTTTTCAAATATAATTGAAAAAATCTTTTCTTTTTGTATTTGTATTTATAAATTGAGCATTCGTTTTTATATTTTTATATTTAAAATTAAATCATATCTTTTTACTTTTCTTAAATACGTAAAACTGTATTTTTTGGTATTTTTAATTTACCATTATGGAAAAAGACATCTCTTTTAATCTCATAATTTAACCATATATCCCATATATCCCATATATCCCATATATCCCATATATCCCATATATCCCATATATCCCATATATACCATAGATCCCATACATCCCATATATCCCATATATCCCATATATCCCATATATCCCATATATCCCATATATCCCATATATCCCATATATCCCATATATCTTATTGTTTCAATAAATCAAAATAAATCCATCACTTTCCATATTATCAATTTAACATTAAAACATATCTTTTTAATTCTTGTTTAATATCATATCTTTTTTTAAATATAAAATTTAGTCTCAAACATTTATAATGAAGCATTAAAGCGCATGTTATATTCATATACGCACTTATCACAATAGGTTACGTAGATACAAATGGAATAATACTAGCTTAGGAACCCATCGTTACCCAGAGTGCTCATAGTTACTTCCGCCGTTTACCCGCATTTGGTCGATTTTATTGGTTAACTAAATTTTTGCTTTTAAATTTGATCAACTTAACTTAGAATCTTAAAATCAAGCTAAGAAAATGCACGTGGTTCTCGTGACTTCCCCGATCAAAATTTGAGGCAAATCGGTTCAGAGATTCTCGAGTTATGATCGGACATACAAACAAACAAACAAATATAGATTACAACTTGATTAGATATACTGAATGTGTGGAATTTATGTACGAAACTAAATATGTTATGTACAACCTCCTAAATATTTATTAATGTACTATAGGTGTTAAGCATGTACCTCTCCTGCAGTGGATATACTGAGGTTGGAAACAGCTGTATGGATCGGGTTGTGTGTGAGTACGCGGATATAAACTCAGATATTGAACCAGAGGAGAGAGATGTTATATCTATGTAAGTAAACTAAAGGATTTGAGTCTTTGACACAAACTCTTATTTTCCAATCCCTATATATATGAAACTATGATGACACATACCTTGGATAATTCAAACTGTTAATGAAACTAGATCAAATAATCTAAGTTTGAAATATCATAGGTTGCACCACCAAGTTGTCAAGATATAGAGATTAGCAAATTTGAGTTTGTGGCAAAGACTCCATTCCTTTTCATTCTTATCAATGGTTTGAAAACCAAAAACATTTTATATTTTGTTAAGATTTTGGTTTTTAAAAGCAAATTACAATTTCAACGATTTCCGTGATTGGAGATATATAGACGAGGAGAGAACAATAATATGTTTTCTATGCATGAACACTTTTTTATATTCTTTTAGATGAACTGTTCATATTTTTTATTTGAAACTTCTCAAAAAAGGTCAAATTTTATTATTCCGCCTGATTTTAAAGATATTTAAAAAAACTTTGTTTTATTTAAGTTACGAAAGCATCGGTGAAATTGCATAAAATATTTAAGACCCAAATGGGATCCTAGGATATTGATAAAAAAAATATTATATAACATGTTCAAATTGATATTTCACGTCTCCAACATTATTGTGCAATACTCTGCAGACCATTCCACTTTAAAGATTTCATAAGAGGACAGTATGTTCTCCGGGTGAATAACTATATATTGAACCTGGAACCAGACACCTGGGTTCCAGATCCATCAGGATACTGTTATGGTTTAAACACACCGTCAAGGTTAAAGGTTCAGACGGAGAGAAATATAAAAGTAAAATTTGATACAAATGACTCGACACTTTTTCCAGGATATAAATTATCATGACTCATGAGTCACGTAATGAAGTTTATGAAATGTATGATTTTCTAGCAAATAGATTAAACACCACCGGTCCTCACCTTTCAAGAATTTAAATGATTTCTTAGATTAAGAGGTAGAAATCTCACTTCTTAAAGATTAAAGATTTTTAACTATGGTCGATAAATTATTCAGTACCCTTCCAAGATTGAAAACGGGTCTATTAAATTCTGTAACGAAGATACTACAATAGAAATATACTAATTTTCTTAATGAATGCCAACTAGAGGAATTTTCTTTAGAGTGGTAATTATCAATCTTTACTCACAATATTGATTTGGATTATAAATTTATATTTATATACATAACTCTTAGTTTCTAGTAATTCGATTTTTAACAAACCTGGCCAATTATATCGGAATAAATAACTTAAATCTCAAGAGTATGATTTGAAAACATGGATAACCAGCTGGTATAGATGAACCAAAGTAATAGATAGGGCAGTTCTGATATATCTGGTATAATTAATACATAGGAGGACAGTTCTGATATCTCCGGCAGAGATGAACCTTTGGAGGATAGTTCATTTCTCCGGCATAGGATGAACCTTTGGAGGATAGTTCATTTCTCCGGCATAAAATGAACCTTTGGAGGATAGTTCATATCTCCGGTAAAGATAAACCTTTGGAGGATAGTTCATTTCTCCGGCATAGATGAACCTTTGGAGNGGATAGTTCATTTCTCCGGTATAGATAAACCTTTGGAGAATAGTTCATATCTCCGATATAGATAAACCTTTGGAGGATAGTTCATTTCTCCGGTACAGATAAACCTTTGGAGTATAGTTCATCAAGGTTTAATATGTTTTGTAAAGTACAAATTTTTTAAAACTTCCGGCAACGGTGGCAGTTTCTAAATCTCCAAACAGTTTTCGTTTGTATATTTTTATGTTTGACAATAGAAGGGGACTCTCCAGGTATAACTTAATGTTTTTTAAAAGTCTAGAAAATTTATTAAAATTAATCAAATTCCAATCTAAAAACCACGGTTCCATTTCAAACCCCTTTCATGTTCTGTCTGTTGCCTGGTGGTTTCTTGCCTCGAAAATAGAATTATAAACTCCCAGAGGACGGGTTGGATGTAAAAGAAGATTAGATTAACAGAACTCATGCAAATTATATCTTTCAATCTTCTCAGCCTTTTTATAACCGAGGAGGGTTCTTCTTAGGGTACAGTACACATACAATCAGATATATAATAGTGGTAAACATAATTCAAATAGTCTTAGAAAGAAATTGGAATTTTTAAGATGTTAGGTTATATTTAATCGGCTCAAAGTTAAAACACAATTGTTAAGTCAATTTGAAAGTACAAAGCAGGCAGAGTATATTTAAAAAATTCCCGTAATATAATAATACGGGCTTCGTTTTTTTCTTCATAAATTATCCTTTTAATTCAATTAAAAACGCACCATGGGAGAGAAGATCTTGAATTCAAAAATGTATTCCTAAAAAATTGAAAGATTAAAATCTTAATTTAACTTTCTGTCTCTGTTTTCCCTTTGTTGTTTTCAAGCCTGAGCAATGGAGATGTATTTTAAACCTGGGCAAGTAAAAACCCGGGATTATCGATGTTTTGGACAAAATTAAATTTTTTTTGTTATGATCGGATTTAGGCATAAAAAAGATTAGATAAAAATTTCAAAATATGTATCAAAAAATGTTAGCCAATTATTTGCATTTTTGAATTTACAATTTAATAACGTTAACTACAGATTTCCACTAAAAATTGCTGCGGATTTTTTGTTATATCTCATTTAATTTTCATTGAAGTTTTATAACATTTTTGAAAACAATAAAAAAAACATTTTCTGAACAATTTTTAAAAAATTTAATTTTTTGAAAAATTTAATTTTTTGAAAAATTGTTAAGAAAATGTTTCGCTGATTTATTTTTTCAATGATCCAAAAATGGGTATGAATTTTTTTATCACATTTTTTTTAATGCCTAAAATCCAAGCAAAACAAAAATTTGGAAAATTTTGTCCAAAACATCGAAATTCCCGGTTTTTTACTCACTCCGTATGTTAAACCTGGAGATATATATTAGACCTGGAAATATATGTATTAAACCTGGAGATTAAACCTGAAGAAAAAATTAAACCTGGAGAAACAAATTTAACCATGAGGTTATATTAATCCTGGCGATATATATTAAACCTGGATATATATTAAACCTGGAGATTTATATAAAACCTGGAGTTATATATTAAACCCTTGAAACCAATCTGACAAGACTCTGAGTTTGGCTTCCTCCCCTGGGTCGAGCAAGTTTTCTTTACAGAATAAACAATGGGAAACATTCATATTCTTTTATCAATCCTTTCTTCTTTACTCTAACACATTTCTTTTTATTATTACAAGCTAGCTGACGCCTACACCACCTGTTAAACCTATTCCCCTGCTTTTATATATATTACACCACCACACTTTTGAACCTATTCTCTGTGCTCTTAAACCTATTTTACACTTAATCCTATTCTTCTAATCCTGCTGCTAATCTCAATCCTACTCTAACAGTACGTCCTTCTACTACTCTCAATCCTACTTTTTTAATCCTTCTGCTACTTTCAATCCTACTCTTCTAATCGTTCTGCTACTCTCAATCCTATTCTTATAATCCTGCTGCTAATCTCAATCCTACTCATCTACTCCTTATACTACTCTCAATCCTACTCTTATAATCCTTCTGCTACTCTCAAACCTACTCTACTAATCCTGCTGCTAATCTCAATCCTACTCTTATAATCCTTCTGCTACTCTCAATCCTACTCTTCTAATTCTTCTGCTACTCTCAATCCTACTCTTCTAATCCTTCTGCTACTCTCAATCCTACTCTTCTAATCCTTCTGCTACTCTCAATCCTATTCTTAAAATCCTTTTGCTAATCTCAATCCTACTCTAATAGTACGTACTTCTACTACTCTCAATCCTACTCTAATAGTATATCCTTCTACTACTCTCAATCCTACTCTAATAGTACGTACTTTTACTACTCTCAATCTTACTCTTCTAATCCTTCTACTACTCTCAATCCTACTATAATAGTATGTCCTTTACTACTTTTAAACCTACTCTTCTAATCCTTCTACTACTCTCAATCCTACTCTAATAGTATGTCCCTTTAGTACTCATAATCCTACTCTTGTAATCCTTCTGCTACTCTCAATCCTACTCTTCTAATCCTTCTGCTACTCTCAATTCTAATCTACTAATCCTTCTGCTACTTTTAATCTTACTATTTACCTAACTTACTGTATCTCATACTCCCTAACCTACCCTGCGAAAGAACAATGTTGGATTTTCAAATATTTCTAGAATATTCAGTTTTATTCAATATTAGACAAATTCTTTTAGTTCTTCTTCACCAGTTCCTAAACATAGGGTTTAAACATTCGACTTTTTAAGGATTTAAGGAAACATTTTTAAATATTCTGATATTATAGTAGAGAATTCTTATACTGGAGGGGAAGAAATCTCATATTGCAGGAGGGAGTTTTGCTATTGTAACAAAGAATTCTGATATTGAAGGTTGAATTCTGATATTGCAGGAGATAGTTCTCTGTTTGCATGGGAGGATTCTGTTATTTTAGTAGAAAGTTCTGATATTGAAGGGAGAATTCTGCTATTATTGTAGAAAATTGTGATATTGGAAGGGAGATTTCTGATATTAAAGGGAGATTTCTGATATTGAAGGGAAAATTCTGTTATTGCAGGAGAGAAATCTGATCCTTATTTTTAGTATTCGTATCTTAATGATTCTTATTCAGCATTCTTATAACTGTAGAAGGATGTAGTATAGATTAAGAGGGTTAAGTTTAGTATCTAGGGTTTAGATGCCGCCGCAGGGCTTAAATCAACTATTGGTTTCTCTGTTCCAAGACTAGTGTTTCCCAACTTTCTCCAGGGTTCATCTTTGGCAAGGTTGGATCAGGTTTCATCCTGGAGGATATTATTGAATCCTACATTGTCAGAATTATAGAAACAAGAGTTTTCAATCTTATATTTCATTATATATCTGTTCAGTGTTCTCTACAATATAATGGCAAACGAGTTTGTGTCAGCTGAGTTTAAGGAAAGACTGCGGATGGCTGCTAAGCATGGTAGAGATGAGGGAACCTGTATGGTGAGTATTTAGAATATTAATTAGAGTAATTTAAAGACGAGAGTTTGCACCACCTATGGTCAGCTTGACTCGGATGAAGTGGAAACCACGAAAAGGAAAAATTTCTCTCATAAAACTTCATACATGCATAAATACGTACTTACTTACTAACTAACTACCGGGTGTCTCAAGAAACATGACAGTGGAGAGACGATGACGTTTAAAAAAATTAGCTGCATTCTTTTGTCAACTCACTAATGCAAAAATCACAATAATTACAAAGGAATTGAGTTTTTGCCACAAACACAAACTATCTAATCCCTATATCTCTGCAACCAAATGGTTTAAACCTTTGTTATTTCAAACTTAGATTGTTTGATCTAGCAGAATTCATAGTTTGAAATATTTTAAGTCTACGACATTAGGTTTAAAAGATATAGTGATTAGAAAATCAGAGTTTATGGCAAAAGCTCAGTTCCTTTTCCCTTTGCGCTCCTGGCATTTCCAAAATGTGGGTTGACTTTTTTGTGCTTTTAAAATGATTGGAGATATGAAGGATTTCCATCAGATATTTATATTAAAGGGACTGTAAGCGTAAATTCAAGTGATCCTTCATGCAAAGATTTTCGATTCACAACGGCACCCTTAAAAGTTTTGTCTTCCTAAGTATGAATAAATATGTTCATCATTTAAAAATTTATTTGTGGTTTCTCTACAAAAATGACTTACGCACTTCTAGTGCAGAAAAACATATATGATGTTCAGAAATAGAAATCTTTAAAACACCGTTGTGAATCATCGGGCATAGTCATCTTTGCATGGAGGGTCACTTAAATTTACGCGTACACAGTACCTTAAAGTAAGTTTAAAGACTAAAGACGATGTTTTTAGGTTTATGAGTGTACAGAGCTGACAGATATGAAGGATAACAGTCTATGATGATAGAATATTTTTTAGTATTTATAAATATGACGAACTAAAGCTAAACTTTTTAAATTAACTGTAAAAATGTAAAATTCAATTAATTGTTTACTATTAAAATACTTAAAGAGAATCTTACTTTTTGCCGCCAAAATTTACAACGCAATATTTAATTTTCCCACTTTACTTTTAAACCCGTGATTTATTTTATTTATTGTTTATAGTTAAAGATATAAACTTAGATGTTATCAACTTATTGTATTCCACTTTATTTCAAATTCTGTTTATTATTATCTAAGTTTTTAACTTGATTTAATGTTTCTTCATGCACTTTTTTATTTTATTATTTATACTAATCTTTTGTGTCAAACAAATCCACTGAAAGTTTTCTGAAAAAGTAAGAACAAAGATAGTAAACCCTACTTTTTTATTCTTAATCTTCTAAAATCAAATTGGAAATCCAATCTTCTTATAGTTATAGTCCATAAATTGCAGAACCAGTTACATAAAACAATTTACAATTCAAATCTTCAAAAACCCAATTTAAAGATCATTTAAAACTTAAAAATAAAATAAGTTCAAATATTGTAAATAAGTATAAAATTCTATCAATTTGACTTAAATTTTTGTTATTTATTTCTTTAATCAAAATTTCCTCTTAGTTTAAATGTTAATGAATCTCATTTCAGAATTGTTGCAAATTTTTTTTTCTCTTATAAAACCAGTATCTAAGTATTTGCATTTAAATACTATTTTCTTTACATGTTTCTCAATATTAAAACTACCAGAATCTCAAATATAGTTAAATCCATAAAATCAAACATATGTTTCAGATGAAACTATGCGCGGCATTTTTAGCTTGTCATGTCGTCTTTGCTTATCTACCTTCAGTTCACACATCCTGGTGGCCATTTTGGTCTACTGAGTCTACTGAAAAGAAAGAAACCGTAGAAAAATCTCAGGCATGCGTAGAAACATTCATTGTTTACTTATTTCTCTTCGGGAACATTTTCTCCGACTGCCATTGTTTCTATAATGGTTTCGGTATTGTTTAACATTGACTGATAATGAAAGGCAGTTCTATTAAACGAGAAAGAATAAGGATATTTTATAGAAAATCTACAATTAAGAGAATAAAAAAAATTTCTGAAGAGCCATGAATGTTCTGTTCTATACGAGAAGGTTGAGTCAAGGACGGATTATGATTACTATGATGAAGATTACTATTTCTACGATCAGCTCGGTCTAACCCGTAGAACAGGAGATCTTTACGATCAGATGGGTCCAAACCGACGATCAGGAGATTACTACTATTACTACGAGGATGAAAGAGTTCCAAACAACAGACAAGCAGGTAGTCTCAAAAGATCATGATAGTCAGATGTTAAGTGTTAGGTGTGTTTGTTGTAAATTCCATAATCTAGTAGGATAATCCTTGATGTGATTGATATTCAGATACTAAAGTCCTTGATGTATAATTGATAATCATTAGAGAGACTCTGATTTGGTCATGACTGTTGACTTATAATATCGGAGTAGTTATGTCCTTTGATTTTTTAATCTATATATTGTTGTTTTTACTCTTTGATTTGTTATTTTTAGAATTTTTATTATCTTCGAGTCCTTGACAATTCGCTAAACCTTGACAAATATTTCTTGATTTCAAAATTTCTGACAAGACACTATCCTTGATTCTTTAACGAACCTTGACGAAACACTGATTGATCGATTGTTTAAAATAATAGTAAACTGAATATTTCAAAAAATCATCGAAGTTTGAAATATTTTCTAAATCCTTTCTAAATCTTCTTCTCGTTTTAAAGTGTTAAATCTCTTTTTCCTTTTCTAATCTGATGATTTAAATCTAGATTTTCTCCTTTCATCTCCTTTAAACCTCGCCCAATTCATTCAATTCAACGTAAGCTCTCATTTTAAAGATTTACAAGATCTCCAATATTTTCTCTACTTGTGTCACTGCATTGGATACAAAATAGGCATTGGCCATTTTATGTTGCGCGCGCATGCCCCGTAAAATTACAAAACAAAGAGAGAGGGATTGAATTTTGTAGTTCCAGAAAAATAATATCTGTGGGATGCCTGCATAGAGACCGGAAATGTAAGACATGTGGCCGCAGCGCTCGGCCCCCTATCCTGTCCTAGCCCAGCGCTCGGCCCAGAAAGGGTCATAACTTAACCTAACCCGTGGCCGCAGCGCTCGGACCCCTAGCCTGTCCTAGCCGCAGCGCTCGGCCCAGAAAGTGTCTTAACCTAACCTAACCCTAAATTAATACTAATTTTTGGATCTACAAAATTCAATCCCCCTCTCTCTGTTTTGGAATTTTTCGGGGCATGTGCGCGCAACATAAATCTCTTATTTAAAGGGACTGTAGGCATAGTTTCAGATTCACACCTTCACCATTAAAAGCTTTGTCTAAATAAAAATGCCATGCATAAGAGAACCATGAACTTTTCTTAAAAATTAGTTTGTTTCAATTGTGATTTCTACATAAATTAATTTCAGTAACAATGAAGGAAACTGTTAGAATTACTTTTCAAGTTGTAGAAAACAACGATATCTTTCAAAGGGTTCAGTTGGTCTTTAATTAAAAGGAAACTTGAAATGACATCCACAGTCCACAGTCTCTTTAAAGGTTAGATTTATACATATATAGTTTTATAACTAATTATATTTTTTAGATGTTGGGAGTACGATAAATCCTCTCGCTGCACTAATAGCTCCACTAGCTGGGCTAGCCCTGCTAGGAGCAGCTAGTGCTGTAGCGGTCAATCCAATGCTGCTTCAGCTGGTTACTATTAATAGAGGGAACAGAAGGCGGAGAGATATCTTAGATAAAGGTTAGATTTTTAAGGAAAGAAAAAAGACGTAAACACAAAAAAAGTTAGGGGACTTGGAGTTGGGGGGGGGGGGTTGAAACTAAAAAGTAAAGAGATAAATAAGTTAAATGAGAATGTGAAGATTTAATATTTTATAATCTGATTAAGCCTCCAAACATATTTCATTCTTTAGATTTGGAGAACGAAGACTTGGATCTGAAAGGAAAAATAAAACAATTGAGAGTTTTAGAAACTTTCCTCACCAGAATACCAGGTGATTTAAACCTTGCTAAGCAGAATATCAGGTGATTTAAACCTTGCTCAGCAGAATAACAGGTGATTTAAACCTTGCTCAGCAGAATACCAGGTGGTTTAAACCTTGCTCAGCAGAATACCAGGTGGTTTAAGCCTTTTTCAGCAGAATACCAAGTGGTTTAAACCTTTTTTAGCAGAATACCAGGTGATTTAAACCTTGGTTAGCAGAGTACCAGGTGATTTAAACCTTGTTCAGCAGAATACCAGGTGATTTAAACCTTGTTTAGCTTGTCGAAAATATCAGTAAATCTTAAATAATCCATGAATTACTTAATTTAGGTACGGCCAGTCAAGCTGACCTGCTTACAGCTGGTTACCTAAGCTGTAGTGGGCTAGGAGAAGATGGTAACCAATGCCTGGAACAGTTGACCTGCATGTACGCGAGCAACACAACCTTGAATCGGATAGAAAAAGATGTTACATCCATGTAAGATTTAAAGGAATTGAGTCTTTGCCACAAATTCAGTTTTTGTAAAACCTATATCTTTCCAACCTTATGATGTAAACCTTTGATATTTCAAACTTACATTATTTGATCTAATAGCATTTATAGTTTGAAATATGAAAGATCTACGTCATTGGGTTGCAAAGATGTTGAAATTAGAAAATCAGAGTTTGTGGCAAAAAGTCAATTCCTTTGTCTTGATTTGTAGAAACCATTTTGAATTGTCTGAAAGATTTGAAAATTTAATTTCCTCCTTTGACGGGATGGTAACTTGGTAAGACAAAAATTGAAAATAAATATGGGTTTGAGGGACCTAGATGTGGCAGGAAGGAAAGAGGATAGAGGGGGGGAGGGAGGGAGGGGGAGGGTGGGTGGATAATCTCATTCCTTAATACTTCACCAGGTTTGAATGAAAGTTTAAAACTAATATTTGGAGTTTTAAACAAGTCTAGAATATAAAAGATTATGTTGAGGGGCATACTATATGTTTTGATAAACGTTATACTTTCAAAACATGAATAATCAAATACAAAATTAAATATTTGTTACCCCTTAAATTATATGATTTTGCATTCCTGTACTTCTGTAATCCTCCATTCCTCCATTCCTAAAGGCCTTCATTCCTCTACTCCTCTTTTCCTTTACCTCTGTACTCCTCTTCTCCTCTATTCATCTACTCCTCTTCTCCTCTACTCTTAGCTACTCCTAGCTACTCCTAGCTACTCCTAGCTACTCCTCTACTGCTCTACTCCTAGCTACTCCTCTACTGCTCTACTCCTAGCTACTCCTCTACTCCCTCTAACTGTTAAATATTTCAGAGTACTGTATAATCTAATGTCCAATAACCAGCTGAAACCAAAACTAAAGAAAAGACTAAGGAAAGCAGCGAGGTATAGTTTTATTTTAACCACCTAGTTTTAAGAACTGTAGTTTTTATTTAAAAAACATAATACTTTTTTATTGTATTTGTATTGTACAATGGCAGCAATATTTGTGGCTAAAAAACAGGAAAGGAAAATAATGAAAAAAAAGAATAAATTCATGATATGGAACGACAATCATATCATACAAATTGGGAAATTTTAATGGCAAAAAATATCCATATTCGAAATTTAAAACATTGAAAATTAAATTGTAATTAAAATAAGATTTCCATGGGCAACGCTGGAGACCAAAGCTAGTAAATGATAAAGGAATTTAGTCATTGCCATAAAAGCAAATGTTCTGACCCTTATATCTTTGCAATCTGTTGGTGTAAACATTTAATAATTCCAAAATAGATAATTTATTTGATCTAATAAAATTAATAGTTTGGGGTTTTATTAGACATTCACTTACAAAATTTAAGAAAACAATTGACATTTCTTTAGGTTCTTCCCTTCGGGTCTTTTACAGTTTACGTTGCTGGGAAAATGTCATCCATATGATCTGGGAATACCTTGTGTACTTGGTTTGGTTGGTATGTGTTTTGTAAATGTACTACAGCTGGTAGTTAATCCTGTTTTGCAATGTTTAATGACTTAGATAAATACAATGTAATTGTAAGACTAATGGTGTGTGCATATGCCTGTATATCTATAATTATATATCTTATATTTATATATTATGTTATGGATTTATTGTGAAATTTTCAACTATTTTACATTATAAGTATGAATGCCTTATGGGATTGAGAATTTTTTATAATTTTCTTTTTTTAGATTAAGAATGAATTTCTTAGAAGATTTCTTTCAATTAGTATTTTTTCGTAAACATGTCTAACAATTACAATGCAATGTACAACCTCATTCCTACCCTTACTCCAGTCCATGGATCTTTAAAAATAAATAACATTTTTCACTTGACCCCTGTTCCATAATCATAGGTTGGTGTAAAACCAATCCATCCCAGATGGTAGTTAAAGACAATATTAAATAGATATCTAAAGATACATTGTTTGGTTTCAGGTTCGGACGAGATGGTCAGAGTTGTGTCAGTTTCTCCTGCAGCTCTGTTCCAAACCCATGGAGCTGAGTCCTGACTTAGAGTAGATAAACAAGAAACACTCAAGAGCAAATATCACGAGCTTTTTAAAGATATAGATATCAACCTTTTTAAAACTTAATTTGACTAAATAATAATCTTTTCAATCAAATGAGATCAAATCAACCATTGTATCAACCCCCTAGACTAACAATCAAATCAACCATTGTATCAACCCCCTAAAGTAATAATCAAATCAACCATTGTATCAACCCCCTATACTAACAATCAAATCAACCATTGTATCAACCCCCTAAAGTAACAATCAAATCAACCATTGTAGCAACCCCCTAAAGTAACAATCAAATCAACCATTGTATCAACCCTCTAGACTAACAAGCAAATCAACCATTGTATCAACCCCCTAAAGTAACAATCAAATCAACCATTGTATAAACCCCCTAAACTAACAATCAAATCAATCATTGTATCAAAAAATCAATTAATCTTCTACGTAATCAACCGATCTAATCTCATATTTTCTGGATTACAGTGTATTTCATATCGAGCTTTATTTGTTCAAATAACAAATCTAATATTTTTTCTCTGCTGAATTAAAACTAGTTAGAAATCAAAGCTTAAATGGAAAGCCGTCATCATCGTATTGATATAAAAGCCGAGCTCAGTATTTGATTTTAACACAACCAATGCACAAATTGCGACTTAAACTTTTCAAAATTTACAGAATGATTGATCCTGATCCTTTATATTATATTTTATTTTGAACGCAGATGCCAATTTAAACTTTAAAAAAAAAGGAACCACTTATTTTATTATTAACTACAGAGCGTCCCATATCATATTAGATTATCTTCAAGCATAACGCCAAAATAAACATATAATACTCAAAAAACCTAGCATTTTCTGCAAGAAAATTTTTTTGTATAAGCCTTATTCAATTTTTCAAGATGATTCATTCTTCTTAAATGTTTTAATTAGTCCCGAAAATCGTAGTTTAGAGCCATTGACGATCTGATATGATGTGGGACACCCTGTAGCTGAAGGGTCCGGCGTTGCCCGTAGAAAAAAATAAAGAAAAATTTGAAGAAAAAAATTAGATTTTTTTAGCCTATGTCACCCCCAGGCTACACATGAGTGTCCACAACAAATTTCAGCTCATTCGGTCTTGCCGTTTGGCCGGCTATAGGAAACATATATACGAATGTCTTGTTTTATTATTTAAATTATCGCTGATGTTTTCAATCATATATTCACAATTTTTTCGGAAATACGTAGATGATAAGTTTTTTAGTATAGGTAAAAATTACGGCTTTACAAATATGAAACCAAACCAAACCTGATATAGATTATATTTTTGTGACTTAATTTTGTGTAACTTGTATTTTAGTGACTTGTATTTTAGTAACTTGTATTTTAGTGACTTGTACTTGTGTAACTTGTACTTTTGTAACTTGTAATTTAGTGACTTGTACTTTTGTAACTTTTTGTAACTTATTTTAGATTTTGTGATTTAAAGAACCGATGTCTTCCAACCGAATCTCAAACCTGAAATAAACTTTATAGTACATGATATACATTTTGTTATGTACAATGTACATTGTGCAATGCATTGAGGATAATGTAGGGCTCGGTGACGACATTTACGGATTTCACTGTCTATTCCTTAGGAGACGACATTTTCCGTACATTAGAGCGCATCTAGATTTAGCAACCTTACTAAACAATCTTGGTAATATGAGAATTGAGCAACAATCCTGAGATTGGTTTAGAGTAAACTTAGATTTAATTTCTAGACAGATGGATTGACCATTACTTGAAACCAAGGTTGTATAATAAGGTTTTTCTCGATGCGCTCCAATGTACGGAAAATGTCGTCTCCTAAGATACATTGAAAAAACCTAATATGACGTCACTCTCGTCTCTATAATCAGTGACGTCATATTGGGTTATTATCTATCTATCTTAGGAGACGACATTTTCCGTACAATGGAGCGCATCAAGAGTAACCAACCTTATTATACAACCTTGCTTGAAATTGAAATATTCCTATTTTGACAGTAAGACCCATAAAAGTGTGGAAAAGGAAAGGGATATTTCAGCAATCTTAAGTTGATGTTGTAGGATGTTGTTACAAAGCAAACAATTTTACCAGTAGTTTATTTAACTATTAAAGTCATAACTTGAATCCTAAAGTTGTCTTCCTGTTCATGCACCTTTTTTGTTCCCATTGTTATCGGATTACTCCTCAAAAACTGATATACTATCAGTAATATATTACACGTATACAGTGATAACCAGAAAACTCTAGAATAGGAAATCGACTTTTAAACTCAAGTTATGACTTTAAATTGTTCAATGAACATTAGAAATAGCAATTGTGAATTGTAAACAGACCCATTTCACTTGATTTAATAACTTAGTAGTAAAGAAATCTTTGATATTTAGTCTTCACATATTCGAGATAGAAAACTACCGCGTCAGTTTTCTGACATATCAAAAAATATCCATGAACATTTGGTGATTCAAAGTTGGCAAACATTCACGCACAAATCATTGAGAGTTTTGCCAAAACTTGTCCCAAATGAACAATTGTCAATGCTACAAAAAGATACGATTGAGCTACAGTAATAACCAGAAAACAATGAAATAGGAAGACGACATTTTAGCAATACTTACCCTTATTTGATGTTGTTGAAAAGAAAATAGTTTTAATAGACACTTATTAAATCACTAATTTAGTGTGCAATTGCTGTTTCTCCTGCTCCTTGGACAAAATTATAATTGATTCTAATGGTCGCCTTTCTATTTAAGATTTTTCTGGTCATCACTGTAGTTATTTAATTAATTTACAACTGTGGGAAACCATAAATGTAAGAGAATTGACTGAATAAATAAAATAGATTTAAAATTCAGTGATGGTGATGGACCAAACCAGATGTTAGTTCCACATAAATAAAATAGAATTATGAACAAAATATAAAATTCTTTTTTGAAAATACTTCTCGTTCATGGTTTTACTTCCTAAAAGAATTGAGTCTTTACTATAAACTTGAAATTTCTCTTATATCTTTGCAACCCAATGCTGCAAATTTGATATTTCAAAATATGAAATATGTTCAATCATATATTCTAAGTTTGAAATTTCAAAGCTTTACACAATCAAGTTACAAAAATATAAAGTTGAAAAATTTGAGTTTGTGGCAGAGCCTCAATTCCTTTTCTACTATTTCTGCAGACATTGTTTACAGTTCAACTTACTTTTTTTAGCAACAATAAAAACATAAAATATGTTTTACATTTATTTTCATTACAGCTGAAATATTATAAGGTTGTGTTGCATAATATTTAACAGAAAATAACTATATTCGATGAATATCGGAATCCCTTTTTATTCAGTTTTTATTACCTTGTACGACGTACGTACACTTCAACCTCTGATGAAGAATTAAGAAAACACCAGGAGAATTTCCTGTAAATTACGAGTTTGAATTTAGTTTAAAGAATTTGTTCTACCTTAAAAAAATGTCAGAAAGGAAATCAAAGAAAACAGTTTTAGGGAAAATATTTAATTTTAATAAAAATTGTATGCTTGTATTTTTAAGTGTGAAAAAGTTTTTACCGGGATTTTTATTTTTTCTATTGTTTGACATCAAAATGAAAGTATTTTCACTCCGAATTTGGTGAAAACTAGAAACTAGGAAATATTAAAAATATCAACAAAAACTCTTTCACAAACATGATACCCATTACTTTATAGTTTTATTTAATTTTGCTCAACTTTTTTAATAGCTCTCGAATTTATGAAATTTGATTCCTTTGTTCTTAAAAATGTAGATTTGATCTCTGAACAGAATTTAAAATAAATATCTAAACTTAAACTATTTGACGAGGTAAATAAAGTTTTATCTTTTTGTTTATTTTCAAATATTTTCTACAGATAAACGCTGTACTCTTTTCTAAGCTGGGGGTCAGAGGGTCAAATAAATATTTTCTATGATGGGGGTCAGGGGGTCAAATAAATATTTTCTATGCTGGGGGTCAGGGGGTCAAATAAATATTTTCTGTGATGGGGGTCAGAGGGTCAAATAAATAAAATTGTTAAATTATTCTAAACATTATTTAAGTAAATAAAATATTTTTTCTTCTTTTTTACTCATTTATCTTGCCAAAAATTTACACTTGTACAGAACTTTTTAATCTTTATAGTTTACGTTATGCATTAAAGTATAAACCAGGGAGACTTAGTTTACAAACATTATTTTAAAAATCGAACAAAATACAATTGTAGAAAATAAAAAAAAAAACATATATGGACAACATCAAAATATTATTTGTAATTTTTTCAGAACTTTTCATGTAAAATAATCTTTTTTATGCATACAATTCAACCTTGATAAAATTTTATTTAGAAATATCGATGCAGTATATTGCACCAACTGTCAACGAGAAAGTATTTATGAAAGAACTTGAAGAAAAAAGATTTTAATCTGACTTAATTCTTTGAATTATGGTTCAGTGCCAGCTGTTCACTATTTCATGTTCAGTTAGCTATAAACTTTACTTTACGCATCCCTATAACTTGCAACCTGGTGGTGTAAATTTTTTGTATTTCTTTTTTGGCTGATTATTCAGTCTACAGATATAGTTGTACAGATATAAGATTAATAAATATGCAGTTTGAGACAAATTTTCCCTTTCTTAATGCAATCTAAATGCAAAATCACAAAATTCTGCTTTACGGGAACGAATTAAATTGAGTGTTTGCGAAAAGGGTGGTGTATGCTTACGTCGAAAAACTTTCTATGGTGATCACTACAAATCTTACTAATCTATCGGTTGCCTCTATAATTGGAGAAAATGTTTAAACACGACTCATACCAAAGAACGTAGCGTAGCGCCAATACAAATTCAAAAATTGCAATATTCGACTCAGATCGTAAATATTTCAATTTAATCCAAACAAACAGATAGAAATAAGATTAGCAGCGATAACCATCGAATATTTTTCGATATAAGCCTATTATAACCCCTTTCATTTTTCGCAAACACTCCATTTAAAGTCGTATCTTGTATGTATCTCTGTATCTGGGTTTTGTTTATTAAGAAAAATGTTGAACTTTATCTCATTCGCGTAGCTCAAGATATCTTCTCATACAGGGTGTCCCAAAAAACATGGGAATTCAGTGACGAATTCGATATCGTCTTTGTTATGAATTAGCATTGCAATACCTAATTTCAAAAGCCTTAATATTATTGTGTCTGCTAGAGTTTATTTAATGAAAAGGGTAAAAGACTGTAAAGATGTGTCCATAATGTCTCCGCAAGATGAACAGTGAAGACGGACAAGTTTACTCTGTTTGTATACAGCAATTTTCTTGTTTTACTATATATATAATTAATCGCTTAGAAGATAAAACAATAAGACAAGGAACGGTATGCCAGATAACAAAGACTTATCTTGTCTCAGATACTCAGTTCTTTTCTGTTATTAAGATTGAGCGTAGAAAAGTAAGATGCTGTTTGAAACATGGCAGCAATAATTGTCTGAACTTAAATAGGACCAGATTAAATTATGTTTAGTATAGATATAAAATGATGTTTATGGAAATTTATTTAAGTTTAATTCTCTCTCACAAGCATAATAACTGACTTTTATATCCACTCTAGACTTCTGTATAAAATATCGATATAAACAACGCCATGTCTGAGATATCCACAACACTAGAACTTTTACTTTGAAGCGATTAGGTGCTTAATCCGTGCAGTGCGAGTAAACAGTTGACTCTTTAGCCGACGGTATATTTTGAGTGGCTTCTCGTGTTAATCTATTCAGACGACGATTTCATTGTTTAGAATCCTCATGATTTAAAGATATTCATATTACAGAAGGGGAGTTTAATTTAACCGTCAGACCCAAAGAGAATAGAATATATATTAGAGTGGAATTTAGAAATCCCTCAGTATGAATTAAGTGCACAAATCATGTAAATGTTCACAAATTATATGCAGTAGAGTACATTAATATGTAGTATGTTCCCTAGACTATCCATTTCAATTTCGAATTTTTTAAAGCTGTTAAATAAACTTTATAAAATTAATTAGGTGAATAAAAAACATATTTATAACGGAAAATCATCGTTTGTAAAGTGAAAGGCATAGAGTCTATGTGAAATGATCATTGGTCAATTATGAAACCAGCCTTTTTCATAATTTGCTTTTCTTTTAACATTAATTTTAGATTTTCTATAAAATGATATTCCAGGGCCCAAAATGTTATATAGCGCAAATATGTGAAGTACACTTGCAGTATGGAAACAGTACAACAAAATGGCCGTTTTACACTTTTTTCTAGTAAATTCCGCTCTAATATATATTCTATTCTCTTTTTTCTGAACAGATTAACACTTTTAAGTTGTGGCCTAAGAATATGGGCGAAAAGAATTTTGTTATATATCGTTCAATTGTACAATTGTACCTTTTGAAGTAAGCTGATCTCAGTACAATATGGAAATAAATTAGACCGGTTCAATATTAATTCGACAATTTCATCAGTGTTGAACTTCAGGTTGAGAGGGGAAAAAGAATTCTAAACAGGCACCATGTCAACTCGCCACACCAACAAGTTCTAATTTTCTAATCTCTATATCTCTGCAACCTTTGATATTATGAATTATGAATTGTGATAGATCAAATAGTCTAAGTTTGAAATATTAAAGCGTTTGATGAAAATGTCTGAAAATGTGTGTATAGTTTCAGAAATATGAAAAATGAAGATGTATGATTTTTTGTATATAATCCCTCTCCTAGGTTTGTATGTTTAGTTTTATAAATTGAAACAATTTTAGGAAATTTCTGAAATATTGCCCAATTGTTAAGAAAATAAAGAAAATCTTTGAACATTTATTTCATCAAAAAGAAGTAAATTTAAAAATGCAAAATAATAAATAAATTTAAAGTTTCCATTTTTCAAATGCAAAAGTAAACTGAGGGATTTTAGAATGTTATTGACAAAAGAAATTAAGACTTCGCCACAAACTTAAATTTTCTAACTTCCTTCTCTTTGTATCCTGAAAGTGTAAACCTTAGATATATTATACTTAGATCAATTGATCTTATAGAATTTAAAGTTTGAAATATCTAAAGTCTACAAGATTGGGTTGCAAAGATATAGGAATGATAAAATCAGAGTTCGGGACAAAGACTCAATTCCTCTTGAATAAACTCATCGGGGAAGACGATATTTTTGAATATAGTATTGACTAGAATTGATAGTTAACTTTATCGTAAATAGTCTATACAATACATGCTGTACATAGGGTTCTCAGCAAAAAGGAAAAATCGTTGCGCGAAAATGAAAAACAAAAATTCGCAATCATTTTGCTTCAAACTGTTTCGCAAAAAGGCCAAATTTTCGCGAAATAGAAAATGCGTAAATTTCGCAAAAAAAATGGAAATTATGCAATAAAACACGAAAATTTCGCGAAAAATACTGATTTTTTAAAAACAAATGCAAATTTTAGCGAAAAAGTTGCGAAACTTCATTAAAAAAGACTAAATTTTGAAACTACAAGACTTATTTTCAAAGAAGGATTTATCCGCTAGCCCAATTGATGGATTCACACAAAATATAAATATAGATTTAAGAACGACAGGAGACATCAGACAATTCATAGACTTCCTTGAAAATATTTTCTCGACCGTTAAGATCTTTCTTCTTAAACACAAAATGAAATCTACTACGGGAAAAACTAAAATAATTCGGAATATTATAAATTCACCCTGTTTAAAAACTATATATACTTCCAAGATACGTAATACAATTTTACTTGTTACTTGTTGTTGTTATGATTATGATTATGACAAAACTTAAAATATTGAGCTATCAGAGCAGAGCATTGTTTTTTTTGAGCCATTAATTGTTGTAGCTAAAAAACTGGTTTCACAAAATATTCGCATTTCGCGAAAATATTTTCGCATTTCGCATTTTTGTGAAATTTCGCTTCGTTTTCGCTTCATTTATTTCTCGAAATTTCGCGAAAAAGTTTGCGAAATGCGACCGAAAAGCTTCGCATTTTTTCACAAAACGTTTTGTTCTCTAGAAACTCTAGCTGTACGTCACTACATACTCAGTTTTAACAGTTCGTCCTTGTCCCTACAATAAAAGGGACTGTAAGCGCAATTTTAAGTGGCCCCTCATTTGAAGATGACCGTGCCCTATTCACAACGGTATCCTTGAAATCCTTTACAAATCAATAAAGTGAAAGACCTTGTACTTTTTCTAGGTTTAAAAGTGTTTGATTCTAATAATTCCTATATTTTTTCCTACAGTAGAAATGCGAGAACACTTTAAAAAAGAAACCACAATATAAAATAGTCAATTTTCAATATTATAAACATTAATATCTAAACAATAGAGGTCTAATATGAGACCATAGGAAGAATGATATACTTTACATAAATAAATTTTGTGATATCTAATAAAAGAATTGATTTTGCACAATGGAAAGACAATTCAACAAAAAGTCGGTTAGACAGAGATATTAATCAATTATCTATATTTAAATATTGATTAGGGTGTGCCTGGAGTTCTATAGCGGGAGTAGAACTAGGGATAATGTTTAGAATATCTCAAAACTATTGATCTTGATTTAACAAATTTCTAAGTTGACAAAAAAAAACTTTTCTTTAAAAAATCAATAAAATGAATATATACATAAATATAGAGAATTAAAAATTACAAATGATGGCAACTGCAGGGTTACCCACAAAGGATGAGACTTTAATGACCCTTCAATAATAAAGATCCCGAGGTAGAATGAGGATTTCTGGCTTAAACATAGTCTTTTTGTGGGCAACCCTGTATATATATTCAATCTATTAATATCTTTTAATAAGTGATCTTTTTTAAATCTTGATTTTTAAATAACTTTTCTGCCAACTTTTAAACTTTAAATTAAATGAATAAAACATGACTAAACGTTTCTGTTTCCAAAGAACTCCGAAGAGGAGGAGGAGGATCTGGATCCAGGACGGATATAGGATCGGAGCAGGATGGGGATGTTTTGTTCGAGATTGAAGGAGCGAAAACGTTTGATTATGTTGATGGTTTTATTCAAACCCTGAGAGATACTGGTAAAATATCTTCTTCAGTTAGAACCAGATAACTTTGAAATAGGAAGACGACTTTTATCAATTCCTCAGTGCATTTGATGTTGTTGCAAAAAGTTTTACTCGACACAATTATTAAGTAACTAGTGAAGTGAAACGGGTCTGTTTACGCACACTGCACAAATATTGTGTACCATGCTTATTGGACTATTTAAAATCAAATTGAGTTTAAAAGTCGTCTTTATATTTCTGGTTCTCGACACTGTATAAACTAAATTCAATTGAATTGAACAACCGACAAAAGAGGAGGTCATTAAAATGTCGTCTTTTTAAAGAATTAAACTAAAAATTTCTCAGAACTAGAATTAGTGTATTTTATTTAACAATAAACTAAACGTTGTCAATTTTGTCAAAAAATAATTTCGAACTTCTATATGTTTGCAATGAAAAACTTTTAATTCATTTTCTTAACATGAGATACATACGATCTACCAATTATTTAAAAAATGTCATTTGTCTAGCATTCAAGGTGTTGGCCATTAACATGACAGTTGATAGAAGGGTTTTCGCGGGATTTTTTTCGCGAAATTATTTTTGCAAAATCAACACGAATTATAAGCTTTTCAGCAAGGTAACCACGGTATGCAAAACTTTAAAGTTTTTTTATCAGAGCATATAGCTTGCAAAGATCAAATAATATCTCTGATCGGTCTAAATAATATTTTTATTATTGTCTTTCGTATTAAAAAACATATCAAATTATGGAAGAAGACATTCTAAACTATTTATACCAACTGTCATTTTTCGTGGGACACCCTGTATATAATGTACATAAAGTGAGCAAATTTAAATTCACGATAACGCTAGTGGTTGTCGTCTTCCATAACCACAATCTTCTTTCCAATATCCGCACAATCAAAGACATATCTTTTTTTTTGCTCCTCTGAGAATAACTAATTTTTCCGTCAAATTTGTAACTACAGGGCGTCCCACGAAATATGACAGCACTGCAAACCACAAAATTATCTTAGTATCGGAATTTCCAAGATTTTGTCTGCCTTTTTATGTGTTCAATATTATCGGATGGAGAATATATATAGATAGTTTGTAAATATTAATTCTAAAATTAGGTTAAAGGATAAGTGTCGCTAATTATTTCAATGATCAAAGACGACATTCAAGTTGTGTTGCCACTGTCATGTTTCCTCAGACCCGGACTTTTCTTTGAATTTCATTAATAATTCGAAATCCAAATCCCTGGAATATGTTTAGATGACAACTGTGGAGACTATGTTGAATGTGAGGACCAGGGAGACCAGGTGACCTGCTGCCCACCAGACTATAAGTGTTGTCCCATGCCGTCTGCCATTACAGGCATAGGATGCTGCAGTTATTCAAATGTAAGCAGTAAATTACTTTTATTTATTGGGTTAACAGATCCCTATCCTAATTTTACTTTCATTTCTCCTTATATCTCACTCCTCTATCCTTATATCTCACTCCTCTATCCTTATATCTCACAATTCTCTGTACTCCCATTCCGCTCAGTTCTCCTTATATCTTACTCCCATCTATCCTTATATCTCACTTCTCTATCCTCCCTTTCCTCTCATTTCTCTTTTTATCTCACCCCTCTATCCTACCATTCCTCTCATTTCTCCTTATATCTCACTCCTCTATCCTTATATCTCACTCCTCTATCCTTATATCTCACTCCTCTATCCTTTGATCTCACTCCCCTATCCTACCATTCCTCTCATTTCTCCTTATATCTCACTCCTCTATCCTTATATCTCACTTCTCTATCCTCCCATTCATTTCATTTCTCCTTGTATCTCACTCCTCTATCCTACCATTCCTCTCATTTCTCCTTATATCTTACTCCCCTCTTTGCTTATATCTCACTTTTCTATTCTTATCTCTCACTCCTCTGTCCGTCCATTCCTATCATTTCTCCTTATCTTTCATTCCTCTATCCTCATATTCCTCTAATTTCTATATATCTCACTCCACTATCCTTCCATTCCTCTCATTTCTCTTTATCTCTTATTCATCTATCCTCCTATTCCTATCATTTATCCTCCAATTCCTATCATTTATCCTCCAATTCCTATCATTTATCCTCCAATTCCTATCATTTATCCTACAATTCCTTTCATTTATCCCTCAATTCCTTTCATTTATCCTTCTATCTTTCTGTCTCTAAATATGCAGCATGCACTGATGTTTACTCTAGGGTGTATGTTGTCCTGGTGGGGTCTACTGTTGTCCTGAGGACTTCATTTGTACAGGAATAAATAACCTGGAGAATATTTAAGTATTAAAACTTTGATTTCTTATCTTTAATCAATTCATTTAACATTAAGTTTTATAAAATGACTAGCATGGGAACCCAGCTTTGTCTGGAAAATAGATTTTTTCTGTAAAAGTCAAACCACTAAACTTAGAATTCTTAAACCTAGCTAAGAACATTCCTACAGAGTTCCCTAATCAAATTTTGAGGCAAATCGGTCAAGGAGTTAGCCGGCCAAACGGCTGGATCGGTTATATATATAGTAACCAGGTTTTTACTAAATCAGGAAAAGGTAGTTGCGCATTTCTTAAACCTGAACACGTGACCGGAACACCCATCAGTGAAGCTCCAACATTAGTTACTGGAGAAACGGTTCCCCCCACCTGGAGCAGCACAGAAACTGCTCCATCCACCTGGAGCAGCACAGAAACTGCTTCACTCATCTAGAGCAGCAGCAAGCCTACAGATTAGATGAGCAGTCAACAATAGCTTTGAGTTCTTATTTATAAGGAGCTGCATTAAAGCTTCGTTCATCTAAAAGAACAGCTCCAACATTTGTTTATTGGATCAGCAGCTCTCCTGAATTTCAGCTTTTTTCAATTTTATGAAGAGCTGTAAATATTGATATTTAATGTTGATGCTCTGGGAAGATAAATGATGAAGAATATAAACTCTCCTAGGAGTAGAGAGCGCCTCAGGGACCAGTGTATCCACAGTTTATACTAGGATACCCGGAGAATAATTAAACCGTTCTTAACTTTGTCTTCAAGATTAGATAATATGTAGATAGATGAGTTTTTTGTTGCTTCTATTTAATCATAGGACAAAACTAGAGGCTTAATCTTTCAATATAAAAGTGACTTGCGAATTCATGCATCAATAACATTATAGAAAAATGTTAGAATTTAACGCTTTCCCTAATTTTTACTCAGATAAAGTTTTTTTTTAAGAAAACCCTTGGGAATCAGACAGGCCATTGACTGTAAGGAATTTACATCGGTATTAAGACAGCATGCTATTATTTTTCAGAGAGAAATCCTTGGATATCTCCATCACAGAATCATTGATAAAGGATTAAGTGTTTTTTTTTCTGGGATTGTTTTATTAATCCCATTATTTCAATATCTATATAATAAAGCTCTGTGCTCTTATATGTATATAAAAGAGTTATAGCTTTAAATATCTATTTATTTTTCTTTCAAAAATCTAATTTTTTGTCCCAAAAATTGAAATTTAAGGCACTTGAGCTAGTTAATACTAATAGGGTTAATATAATAAATTATCTCATAATTCCACTAAATTAAAATGTTACGTCTATCTTATATTTTCGTAAAATTGATTAGTATCTCATAAATCTTTGATATTTCATATATCTCGTATAATTACATTATTTTATATATAATATATATCTATCTATTCTACATTTAACTATTAACTTATTTTTCATTGGTGGATCTTTACTGTCTTTGGTTTATATCACATATACAACTAAAAATTATGATACAAAAAATCTAAATTCTGTATTTTGGAAAAAATGCCCAATTTTTCAAAGGAACTGAGTTTTGGCCACAAACCCGGATTTTCTAATCCCAATATCTTTGCAATTTAATGTCAGAGACCATTGATATTTCAAACTATGAATTCTGTTGGATCAAATAATGATAGTTTGAAATATTGAAGGTTTACACCATCAGGTTGCAAAGATATAGGGATTAGAAAATCAGAATTTGTGGCAATTTTGTAAAGGTTTATAATCAATTATATTAATATTTGCGGGATATTTATATTAAATATTTATTGGCTATTTTGTTTTTATAAAATATTTATTTAACGGCCAGAGTTAAATTTTAAACAGCTAATTTCGAAAGATCAGAAGATATATATCAAATAAATATTAAACTGGTTTTTAGATTATAATAGATTAAAGATTATATATATTTACACGACTGACCCCTTAAAAATACCCACATGGTGCTCCGAAATTATCATCTGGGTCCTCAACCACTTGACCCATTTTGACATTTATTAGTTAAAAGCGATTTTTGAAACGTAATTTCATGTAACATATCTCGACTCCATGTGTGTCTGAATCACTACGGTACACTTGTTACTTTTGACTGAACAAGGATTACGGATTTATTCTTAAAATATCTGCAGAAATGTAATTGTTGATAATTTTGGATTTAAAAATATTAGAAAGTTTTCCGGGAGTCTCAGAAAATAAAGATTTTCATTTGAATTCTTCAAAACTGCGTTGTCCGTTGAATATTCTTGGTTTTCCAGAAATATTTGATCTCAGCTGCGTTGAATTCACACGGAAATGTAGATCGGTCCAACCGTACACTTCGGTCTCCTGTGTAAGTATTAAGCAAGAAAATCCCGGAACTCGGAACAGGTCAGTCAATGGATTAAAGAGCACCATGCACTGTGAATCGGACACGGCATTTCAATCATTGACAGTCCCTTGAAATTACACCTATATATTAAATTGTATTTTGAAATATCTAAGGTATATGACCATGGGTTGCAAAGATATTGAGATTAGAAAATCAGAGTTTGTGGCAAAGACTCAATTCCTTTGCAATAATAATGTTGTAAAATTTTTTTTATAGAATTTTACCTTGTACATTTATCAAACAATAACACTTTCCCAAATTGTTTAGCCGCAGCGCGGGGCCACGTGGGGTATCATATTCCTGGAGTTTTAGGTTTTACAGCTATCACGTGATTGAAAATATTTAAGATTTCTCAGAGAGTTTTTCCTTTAGCAGAAATAGAATAGATAAAATCAACCTTCCTTGAAATAGATCGGTAAAATAAAATCATTTTCAATTGTGAAAGCAACAACAGAAATCGAAGGCTGGAAAATAGAAAAAAAAATAAAAAAAATCGAAGTATGTATAATTATTTTTAACGTCACCCACATCTATCTGATGTTTTGATATTCTACATAGAGCAGGTTATATCGTGATATTTTTATATAAAGCTGGCTTTTATATAAGTCTAGTCTATACTGCCTACACAGTACACGGAAGTGAGTATAATTTAGATGATTAAGTATGTTTAAGAAGAATAATAGGCGTAATTAAACATCAGGCTTTTACCTTTATTCGATAATATGACTTCTCTAAATAAGAAATCAAAATGAAGAATAAATCAGGGGAATATATGTAAACCTAGAATCTAGGTTTATTCTACTATGAAGACTTTAGGTTTAGTTTACTCTATAAAGTCTAGGTTTATTTTACTCTGTATAGTATACTAAACCTAGAATCTACAGAGTAGAATACACCTAAACTCTACAGAGTAGAATAAACCTAAACGCTACAGAGTAGAATAATCCTAACTCTACAGAGTATACTTAACCTATACTCTACAGAGCAGAATAAACCGACACTCTACAGAGTAGAATAATCCTAACTCTACAGAGTATACTAAACCTATACTCTACAGAGCAGAATAAACCTACACTTTATAGAGTAGAATAAACCTACCTAGACACTACAGAGTAGATTAAACCTAGGGTCTTCAGTAAAGAATAAACCGAAACTTTACAGAGTAGAATAAACCTAGAATTTGCAGCATAGATTAAACCTAGACTCTACAAAGCAGAAGAAACCTTTAGACTCTATAGCGTAGAATAAACCTAGAATCTACAGAGTATAACAAACCTAAGCTCTTCAGAGTAGAATAAACCTAAATTCTTCAGAATAGAAAAAACTTAGGCTCTACAGAGTAAAATAAACCTAGACTCTACAAAGTAAAATTAACTTAGACTCTACGCGTCGAATAAACATAGACTCAACGCGTCGAATAAAGCTAGACTTTATGCGGGTTGAGGTTTATTCTACTCTGAAGAGTTTAGGTTTATTCTACTCTGTAGAGTTTAGGTTTATTATACTATACAGAGTAGAATAAACCTATACTTTATTCAGTAAACTAAACCTAAACTCTTCATAGAAGAATAAACCTTAGACTTTTCAGAGCAAAATAAACCTAAACCCTACAGGGTAGAATAATTATAGACTCTGCAAAGTAAAAGAAAAACTAGATTCTACAAGAGAAGAATAAACTTAGACACTACAATAAAGAATTAAGTGGAAAAGATCCCAAATCTACTCTGATTTGATATTCTGTAATCTGTAATCTGTAATCTGTAATCTGTGATCTGTATGATTGCATGATTATATGATTGTATGATTGTATGATTGTATGATTGTATGTTTATATGATTGTATGATTGTATGATTGTATGATTATATGATTGTATGATTGTATGATTGTATGATGTTTTCTATGGATTTAAAACAAAAAAATCATAAAATTATTTTATGAAGGAACTTTACTCCCTGTGACGTTGTTTATGAGACTTTTTAGCATTAACTTCTTGAAATTATTTAAACAAAACTCTAGAAATCTATTTCAAGTAACAAGAGACCAATGTTAAAGTGCTCGGCCCTCCATTTATAAAGTTGCATTTTCCGATTCACAACAGTATTGTTTACGCCTTTGTCTGATCATCAATGTCGGGTATAGCCTTATTTTTTTAACAGAAAGGTGTAAATGGCGTATTTGGGTTCCAAGAGGCACTCGGTTTTCAGCTAGAACAGTGAGGATATCACTACCAATGGAGGGAAACTTGAAATAACGTCTTGCTGTCCCTTTAAACTTGAAATAACGTCTTGTTGTCCCTTTAAACTTGAAATAACGTCTTGCTGTCCCTCTAAACTTGAAATAACGTCTTGCTGTCCATTTAAACTTGAAATAACGTCTTGCTGTCCATTTAAACTTGAAATAACGTCTTGCTGTCCATTTAAGCTTGAAACACAACGTATTGCCGTGCCATTAAACTTAAAATATTGTCTTGCTGTCCCTTTAAACTTGAAATTATGTCTTTGTGTCCCTTTAAACTTAAAATAACGTTTTGATGTCCCTTTAAAGAGCACTTTGGAACATTTGTTGAAAATATTATTTTGGAACATTTCAGCAGAAATACAATTCTTTTCATTGCCTGTCAATTATATCTTTACAAATTTCCGGTCTATACTTTTATTATACATTTATTTACGATCCACTGGACACCAGATTTCTTACTTTGTACTGTATAAAGAGAATACTCACGATTTTGCGTTAGTAAAGACAAAGGTTATAATGCAAGGAAATTTAATTGCTGTTGCGTATATGCTGCGTACATATTGAAACCAGTTCTCTCTGGGTGGAATTTGTAAACAACAGTGTTCGTTTAGTATACGAGGAGGTTAAAAGCAGTAAATTCTGATAATTTTGATAATTCACATAATAGTTTCCCTATGACCAGAATATTTCATTGATTTTTTATGTGAAAGATGGATCCCATGTCAGGTTTCGACATCCGTCTTGTGTTTACATTACGAGTGGGGGAAGGCAGGCGGCTATGAGCCACCACCATTTTCCCTTCCATGCCACATATTAGCTTTTTTATCTTCCGGCAATCATGAGCCACCACTATTTCCCCTTCCGTACCACCACATTTGACTCTTCCGGGCAAAACTACTTTTTTAAATGGTATATTTAGGGCCTTTAAAGTGTGATTTTAAAAAATCCAGCTGCGTCACGCAAAAAAAGCACAACTCAAACCATTTTTTCAATTTTACTTAAGATTAATATTTTGTGTGTTGAATTCTTAAACTGTTTTATACAGTGAAATTTTTGACAAATTTGACTTAGTATTGCATCTTGAAATATCACAAAGTTGGTTAATGAGTGATTTTAAGATGGATTTAGTATAATGAGTCAGTAATTTAATAATCATTAGACTTCGTGATATTTCAAGATGCAATACTTCATTCTTCTCATTTTCTCGTCCGAGCCACATTCTTCTTATTTTCTTGTCCAAGTCACATTCTTCCCATTTTCTCCGCCGGACCACATTCTTCTCATTTCTCGTCCGAGCCACATTCTTCTCATTTTCTCGTCCGAGTCACTCAAAATGTTCGTCCTTCTCACTGACAGAGATGTATATTTGTAGAACATTGGAGCATATTAATTTTTTCACAAATTAAACAAAAAAATTGGGAAAATTTTGTATTTTATTTTTGCCCTCACATCGCCCGATTAAAAAAAAAAAGTTTTTATCTGCAAGGGTTGGCATTTTAAAAAATAATATTAGAAGGACGAGGATTTCGAGATGGCTCGGACGAGATATTGTTGTGATTAACCTTCCTTCCCTCTTTCAGCAAAAGCTGAGTTTGTGTTGATCTCTGTTTTCACCTTCAGACGAACAAATCTGATTTTATAAACACTTTTTCATTTAATTCACAAATTTGGTTTACAAGTATTTATATTTGTAACATCCTGCAGCATACTATTAAGTACTCCTTTGCCGTAACTTCATTCGAAAGGAATAAAACCTTTATTAAGAATAATGACGACATTTATCTAATATTGGCTCGTAAACTGGAATATTTTACCAACCTTTTATTTACAACCTTTAATAAAGCAAATAAGTTTAGCCTTGATACTTCTATTCTACACAGTATACAGGTACAGTTTCATGATAAGGTACGGGTTCTGTACATGGAAGCCTGTTGTTCTTCTAGCTCCTGTANATTGAATTATCATTCGTTTGCTGTGAAATATAAAATGTAGAGCTTCTCCCCTCCAGCTCCGTCCTCCCTCTAGTCTCCAGTTCAACCTCATCCAACCCGACTCAAGGTTCTCACTGAGACAGGGGCGTGGCTCCGGGGTGTGGGGAGGTACAGAGATCTAAGTGAATATAAGATCCCTGCAAGATTAAGCGGTGTGCGTCTGGTGTGGGACGGATGTAGCTTCAGGTACTAATTATTATCCAATTACTTGATAAAATCAAATAGTTCGCGAAAATACAGCTGACAGTGCGAATATCAAACCATCTTGCTCCAGTGCTTTCTCTCTTTCTCTCTCTCCTTCTATCAATTGTTCCAGCAATTCTTCTGATTTAGTGTTTTCTTCTCACATTGATATAAACAAACCTAGACATTGACGTATTCAACAATATCTCTACTTCCTCTATCTACATATATATATACATATTCCTCCTAAATCAAATCTAATAATCTATGATGACGTCAATTTATCCATAAATATGAACATAGCAAGAGAATACTGAACATAAACAACAGGATACTGAACATGAACAACAGGATACTGAACATAAACAACAGGATATTGAACATACCAAGAGAATACTGAAAATAAACAATAGGATACTGAACATGAACAACAAGATACTGAACATACAAGATACTGAACATAAACAACAGGATACTGAACATGAACAACAGGATACTGAACATACCAAGAGAATACTGAAAATAAACAATAGGATACTGAACATGAACAACAAGATACTGAACATAAACAACAAGATACTGAACATAAACAACAGGATACTGAACATGAACAACAGGATACTTAACAAAAACAACCGTATACTGAAAATGAAGAACAGAATACTGAACATGAACAACAGGATACTAAACAAGAACAGCAGAAAATTGAACATGAACAACAAGATACTGCAAATGAACAACACGATACTGAACATAAACAACAGGATACTGAATATGAACAACAGGATACTGAACATAAACAGTAGGAGACTGAACACAACATGAACAACAGGAAACTGAACATAAACAACAATGCACTGAACATCAACAATAAGATACTGAACATTAACAACAGGATACTGAACATAAACAACAGGATACCGAACATGAACAACAGGATACTGAACATAAACAACAATATACTAAACGTAAACAACAGGATACTAGACATTAACAACGGGATACTGAACATGAACAACAGATCCTTTTTTAGATCCTTGTTTCTCTAGATCTTTTTTATCCACTTACTTGTTTCCCTAGGTCCTTGTTTATCCAGGTCCTTGTTTCTCCAGGTCCTTGTTTATCCACGTCCTTGTTTCTCTAGATCCTTGTTTATCCAGGTCCTTGTTTCTCTAGGTCATTGTTATCCACGTCCTTTTTTCTCTAGATCATTGTTTCTCCAGGTCCTTGTTTATCCACGTCCTTGTTTATCCAGGTCCTTGTTTCTCTAGGTCCTTGTTTCTCCAGGTGCTTGTTTCTCCAGGTCCTTTTTTCTCTAGGTCCTTGTTTCTCTAGATCCTTTTTTATCCAGGTCCTTGTTTCTCTAGGTCATTGTTTCTCCACGTCCTTGTTTCTCCAGGTCCTTGTTTCTCCAGGTCCTTGTTTCTCTAGATCCTTGTTTATCCAGGTCCTTGTTTCTCTAGGTCTTTGTTTCTTCAAGTGTTTGTTTCTATAATTCCTTGTTTCTCTAGGTCCTTGATTGTCTAGGTCCTTGTTTGTCTAGGTCCTTTTTTGTCTAGGTACTTGTTTGTCTAGGTCCTTGTTTCTCTTGGTCCTTGGTTCCAATTGAAGGAATGATTTAATTATTCCCTCTCTCTCTCTAAACAAGGTTCTTCCTCAAGAGTTTGGTTCATTATGTTTCTAGTTTTATAATTGTCTTACTCTTCTCTGAACTTGCACAGTTTATACAATTAATAAAATGCATGCAAATCAAGTTTACTCCCCACCCCACCCCCTCTTCCAATATCCCAACCTCTACATAAAAGACAGTCAAACAATTAAACAATTGGATAAAGAAAAAGAAACAATAAATACAATAATGATAAAGTCAATTATCATTGATCACGCGAATCTATGACTAAATCCAAAAATATAGATTTAATGATTAAAATAAGTTAAAAACTAATGCTCATTAACTTTTAAACGTGAACATCAAGGAGTTACTGTGTCAAAAATTAATGAATTACTTGTTCAACGAAGCATAACAAATATTTGCATTTAGTCATAAAAATAAGGTTTTCGTCGTGAAAACATTACTGTCTTTTTTACAAAGGTTTGAATTTAAAATCAATGGAGATATTTTTCTACGTCAAGACAATGAAAAGTTTAAAATTATTTTAAAAATGGGATTGCGGACAAAACCCCCCCCTCATTTAAAAAAATATATTCACGTTTCATAACATTACTCTAAAAACCTATTGATGGAGATATCATTGTCTTTTATATAGATCTCTTTAAAAAGCGCCGCAGTATCTTTCTCAATGTTCAAGGTTCAGATGCAGGTTTAAATGATACCTTTGTAAATCGTCTTTCCAATGTAAATATGAATTTAGGATCAAAATTTGTGATAAAAAGAAACTTACGACTAAAACTAAAAAATTTCTTTTTGATACACCTAACAACAAGCAAAACTATATAATAAAAAATATCAATTTTCTAAAAAATCTACGGCCTTTTTAAACTCCTGCAAATACAAAAAAAAATATTTTCTACTCTGATCATCAACAACGCATTAGATATAAAATATATTTATTTATAAACATCTTTCAAAGACAGGTTCACAAACAGACATTGCTTTATTGAATTATCATTCTTATCATTATTAACAAATATATCTTATATTGACAGATAAATATTATTGAGAAACTTGCTGATGTGCCCGCCCACACTTGTATGCGATTCCATTAGCGCCTGATCCAATCAGGGTTCAGACATGTGTTTGGTGACTATTCTGAACCAAAAGAAATTGCTTGGCAGTATCATCTATCTTTCTATCTATCTCATCATCCAATTAGTATTAGTGATGAATCCTTATATCAGGGCCAAACAGTAAATGAAAATATTTACTTATACTTCTACTGAAACTATAGTGCGGCGGTGCCCGTAGAAAGTTGTAAAGGGTACCGTTGTGAATTGGGCAACTCATTAATTGGAGGAATGCTGTAGAGAATACGTTGAATAAAATGTTTCATATTTTTATTTTATTTTAATGATTAAATTTGCGGGAAGAGATGTGGCGTAAAGTTTGATAAATCCGTGACGTCATAATAATTTTCAAACACATTTTAATACTTTAAAATTCGATATTAATCTGCGAATGTTTTCACAGATATTATTTGGTTTTGCAAATTTGCAATTTTGCATTCTGACTTCCGATTCTATCATACTTTGCTGTTAAGGCCAGTTTTTCTCTGAGCAGAGAAGGATCACATTTTTTTACTGTTCTAATTTACTTGTCTGGGATTCTGATTTTTTGTTTATTATTGTTGCAGCTTCCGTAGTTCTAGTTTGATAATGTTGCAGCTTCCCTAGTTCTAGTTTGTTAATGTTGCAGCTTCCCTAGTTCTAGTTTGTTAATGTTGCTGACTCATCCTAAACACGTGTATATTAGCAGGACTCGTCTTAAGCACGTGTATATTAGCAGGAATCATCTTAAACACGTGTATATTAGCAGGAATCATCTTTAACACGTGTTTATTAGCAGGTCTCATCTTAAACACGTGTATATTAGCAGAACTCATCTTAAACACGTGTTTATTAGCAGGACTTATCTTAAACACATGTTTATTAGCAGGGCTCATCTTAAACGCGTGTTTATTAGCAGGACTCATTTTATACATGTGTATATTGTCAGGATTTATCATAAAGACGTGTGTATTCTCAGGACTCATCTTACACATGTGTAACTGTCAGGATTTATCATAAAGACGTGTATATTCAAAGGACTCATCTGACACACGCATATATTGTCATGGCTTAAAATAAAGACGTGTATTTTCAAATTGGCTCCAGTTCTGACGTATGTATATATATATATACATTTATGCAATAAAAGACTATGCTGGTATTCAACTGAAGTTAAATTTAGTTTGAAATGTTGATATGACGTCATCTTTAACTTGGTATTGAATTAACTATTCAGGAGCACATCCCAACTTCGGAACCACATTTGTTTTAGTTTATTCCAGGATACTTTTCCTATAAAACTTTATATCTGGATAATGGATACAAACATTCAAGTTTTATGCCTGGATACTCCTATATTAGTGTATACCTGGACACATACTAGTGTATACCTGGATACATACTAGTGTATACCTGGACACATATTAGTGTATACCTGGATACATACTAGTGTATTGATGGACACATATTAGTGTATACCTGGATACATACTAGTGTATTGATGGACACATATTAGTGTATACCTGGATACTCCTACATTATTAATGTATACCTGATAACATACTAGTGTATACCTGGATACATACTAGTGTATACCTGGACACATACTAGTGTATACCTGGATACTCCAATATTATTAATGTATACCTGGATACTTCTATATTATTAATGTATAGATGGACACATACTAGTGTATACCTGGATACTCCTATATTATTAATGTATACCTGGACACATATTAGTGTATACCTGGATACTCCTATATTATCAATGTATACCTGGACACATACTAGTGAATACCTGGATACTCCTACATCATTAATGTATACCTGCATACATACTATAGTGTATACCCGGAAAGTGTATGCTAGCGTATAACCTGGATACATACTAGTGTATACATGGATACATATTAGTATATAACTGGATACCAGTGTATACCTGGATACATACTAGTGTATACCTGGATACATACCAGTGTATACCTGGATACATACTAGTGTATACCTGGATGGATGGATGAGAAGAAGTTGGATGAGGAGAAGGTTTGATAAGGAGAAGGTTTGATAAGAAAAATTTTGGATAAGGAGAAGGTAGGAAGAGGAGAAGGTAAGATGAGAAGTAGATTGGATGAGGAGAAGGTTGGATGAGGACAAGGTTGGAGGAGAAGGTTGGAATAATGAGTAGCTTGGATAGAAAGAAGGTTGGCTGAGGAAAGTCGGAGGAGAAGGTTTTATGAGAAGAAGGATGCATGTGAAGGTTGGATGAGAAGGTTGGAT